TATTAGATATTAAAACAATGGTAGAAGGATTTAGAATTAAATGTGGTCTACGCTTAATGTCTAATACTCCAGCAAAGTGGAAATTTTATGCTCTGCAGTCCATGGCTACGCAGTTACAGTGCTTTGATCGTTCATTATGGTCAAACCTGGTGCCGCATATACAGAAGGGAACTAGTCTATTTCACGAAGCAGCGGATAGAACAGTAAAGTGGTTAATGGATGGAAACCCACCCATCATCCCTAAAACAGGCTTATTCATTTATTGGCAGCTCATTTATAAGTATCATTTCCGATTACCAGTGTGTTACCGGAGGATAACTCATCTCAAAGATATACATTTTTTTAAACTCCTACTGTCGAGTAAAATGTCAACACATGCACATGAGATTTGGGTGAAGTTAGTGAAGGACGCACTATACATACGGGCACAGGTAGGCAGGACGGAACTAGAAAAACAATGTGTTTTTTGTGATCAACCTGAATCAGCGTACCCTCTATGGATCGAGTGTACCTTTTTTCAACCAGTGTACCTATTCAGGGAGTCGATTGCCGATGGGACTCATGTAGCTATTGACCGTGAAACGAATCAAATCGTTTACATTGAGAAAATCCCCTCATATGACCTCACTGTGGTACAACGTAAAAATATAATTTTCCAAATTGGAAATTTCATTAAAACAATCTGGGATTATCGAAATGCAGTCCTTTTCGACAAAACCGGGAAAAACATTAAGATGGTGACAAGATTTTTTCTCGCATCAGTGAATCGCCTCCCTTTCGACAATGGTTAACTAGTATGATTCTTTTAGTCTGTTGTTTTCTATTCACGTTTTTTTCTTTAACTGATCCAAAACAGTTGCCAATACATTTTAATGCAATAAGTCACGGCTATCATTTAGTAGTAGATCGTTTGTGTGTTAATCCGATTGAGGGTTAGAAACAACCTGTTATTCAGTTTATTTAAAGTGCGTTTTTTTTTGTTCGTTATTATGTTCATTTTGTTGTGTTTTTATTGTTACCGCTTTTTTCTTTGAAAAACATAGTAAATTTTTAAAAATAAATAAAAACTCGTGCCCAGAAAAAATAAAAACTCGAACGTACATTAAGAAGGGTCATAGACCTGTATATTCGGATAATGACTTAAAAGCTGCTCTACAAGAAGTCTCCTTCAGAGCTAATATTCGTGTAACATCAAAGAAATTCAATATTTCGTATACAACTTTACAAAATCATACTCGATGGACATAAATCTCACCAAAGTGTGCGGACGGTCGAATTGGCTATTGAAAACGATGTTCTTCTATTAGAGTACATTGCTGTTCGATCTATCAGAGTTCTGTGATCCATGCTGTATAGCGCAAACTGTTTGTGTTTAACTGTTGATGATTCTTTATGACACCATGAAAGGACTAGAAAAAAATTAATTTTCTTCGTCGATTTTCTAAGCAATGGGCACACAATATTTTGAGCACAAGTTAGAATGTTCGATATCAGATCCACATTTTCAGCTGATGGAATGGCATCCAACTCTAAACATTTTAGCTGTTGCATCTGTTGTCCCCGAGACAACAGAGGCAACAGCTAACTTGACAGACTGAGGCTCAGTCTGGCACAAATATTCTTTTCTATACTGAAGACGTAAGTGGTTGCGCGATTAAAATAAAATTAGTTTGATACCTTTTTATACGTGTCAATTCAGAGAGAACAAGATGAAACAAATAAAATACAGCATGCTAGTAATGTTCAATATCTATTTTGGCATCCAGCTAAAAGAACATTAGCTATCGGTTTTTCAAGTGACTATTATCTCTCAAACTGAAATTTGTTTTGCTAACGTGCATGTCTTTATTTTTCCACTTAGCTGAAGAATTAATGATACATGGTGAAAAAATCTGAAATAGTCATTGACCACACTTCTTTGCTCAAACCGTCCTCTTTCTCATGCAAAGACTCCTAAAGGGAATCTGAGTAATAGTCACAATGTTTGAGTGAAGTAGTTATCAGGGTCAGGATGTTTGTTGAACAATCCTTAGCATCATTAGCAAGAACACGACAGCACAATCATTTTGCTCTGAAGCTTGTTTCAGAACCGTGCGAATCGTTTTATCAGAAAATATTAATTCAAATAACAATAATGGAATTTCCTAGAGAACTTGTCCACCATCTCAAGCTGTGGATGATCCTAACGTGTAGTTTAGTTCTTTTCTATGCGTAAAATTTTATCAGATTCGTCAAGAATATCGAAGAATTTAAATTTATCAAAAGAATAGAGGAATGCTATTTGTTGTGTAAGAATGTGCTTGTGTGGTGTTGATTTATTTCTTAAAATTTTAAAAGCCCTGGGAATATCAAACATTGTATCTTCAGCTTTTTTAAGCTAATTGATAATTTTATCGTGCACTTCATCATAAAATTTATTTTTTCCTTCGGAAGGATATTTTAATATTTTATTATTATTGTTGATATATTGCAATGACTGTAATACTTGTTTTAAAATTTTTTGAGATTTTGTTAAAACATACTGCATTTTAATGTCAGTTGAAGAAGGGTTTTCCATAAGATCATCATGTTCTTTCCGATCAAACAAATCATCAGCATCTTTAACTCATCTTTTTTAACTCATCAAACGCATTCAGTACTTGTTTGTTCTCAGAATCTTAAATACAGTCTATTCACCTCATATTTTAGAGCTGAGCATAAATCTTACGTTAAACTTTGGTTTTGAAGTAACTTGTTCCTGAAACCATTTACAAAAACTTTGTACAGACACCTTCAGAATGGCGCCTCTCGAGAATGTCATTAGGTCGATGACCACTTTGGCCCACTTTTTTTTTAATCGAAACTAGTGCATTTTGTAGAGGGAGTGACAGCGCAGTTTCTGAGAACGTTTAAGTCTTGTTCATTGTGGTATGTGAGAGAAAGAGATATTGCACTGGAACCATGTCTGAGGGTTTATATAAAAAACTGATGCCAATGGGGTTGGAAAATCCTATATCTCTTTAGAAGAAAGACGATGAGTATCGATCATCGATATGCATTTTAAAGAGCGAAGCAAGATGCACCTGTTCCTATTGTAAAAACTTAGAAAGAAGTGTTTGATGTAAAAAATCTGAAGGACTCAATGTATGGCTATATAGGCGAAAATGTATCTCTGACCACAAATGAGAATGACTTCAGGAATTTTTTTTCTATTCAAGTCAAAGCGAAAAAAAATACATGGAAGCATGTAAGAACATGTAAGCTTTCTTCTGGTATACGTTTGAGACAACGTTGAGGGGGAGCCAGATTTACGATCTTATCCGGCGGGGTCCTTTCGGAGAAAATGTTTCTTCAGCAGTTTTTCTCTCGTTCTAAGACTGATTTCAAGATTTAATCCTAGATATCTTTGATAAAAAAAATGATGTTACCATTCATTCAGTTGTTCACGAAAATTAACTAGTTCAGTAACTCGTCAGCTAGCACGTCTGAAAACGCTAGAAAAGACTGTTGTTAAACTTGAACGTTCCATTCGACCATCAACTACTTCCTCAGAAGTAACAAACGAAAAAAATACTTCTTCGGATTATTCATCTAAAATTGAAAGAAATAATACTGGCTTTCGTCAAAAATCCACAGCAGCTTTCTACGGACGATATAATAATAATAATAGCAACCAAAATAGCAACAATAATCAGTTTCTTTTGCCACTTCCTCGAAATCGGTCTAATTTTAACCGTGAAGACCCATCATCTGAGAATAGAAATAAAGAACCTTCGGGTCCTTGTCCAATTTGCCATAAAAATGGACATTGGAAACGAAATTGTCGTGTACCTTGCGCTATTTGTAAGAAAACTGGACATAATGCAAATACCTGTTTCCAAAGACAAGGCAATAATCAGCGCAATTTGTCTGCTGTACTCAGTTTTTCGGGTGGTGGTTCTCAAACTCAGCTAAGGCCTAATCGTTTAAACTGAAAGGGGAGCAGCTAAGTGAGGATACGCTTATCTCCCATCTCCGTAATGAATCCTCCATTGTCCAATCTAAAGAAAAAGGCAAGATAGAGGCTCTAAAAGCGCTTGCGAGGTTAGCAAAATCCGACCGTAATGGAGACGTCTTTTCTCAGCCGAAATCCGATTATGTGCCTTTATTTTTCTCATCCAAAATATCTCAGACTGTGTCACCATCAACGTCTGCTATTCCAGAACAAAAATCCCAGACTGAATATTCCCCATTTCCAAGTTTTTCATCTGAAAAACCGCATAAATTAAGTTTTTCTCAGCTTAATTCTTCTTCATCATCTGATGATAGTGTTAATTCACCAACAACTGTACTAGCTACTCCGTTAGGTGAACAAAAGAATTTGGCGCAGAAACTCGAATTTAAGAAAGCGAAACAAGCTAAAAAGAAACAGAGGAAGTTAGACGAGAAAGAGAAGGCTAAAGAAAATACCCAACCTCTTTTATCGTCCAAATGTTGAGATTTTGTTACCACCATCCTTAAATTAGAGAGTGAAATCAAAGAAAATGCCATTTCATCCAATGTTTCAAATAGTTTCTACACTATTAAACGAGGTTGTGCCACAGCTAAAGGAAAATTAGTGAGTCGGCATTTTCACTTTAAACACCAGTGCTGGTGTCAGTATAGTTAGCTCTGATTATTGGCGGCTTTTAAAAGGCACTGAAGCCATTCTTCCTTATTCAGGTGCTGATATTGTCGGTCCTGAGGGGACTTCTATTGAGCCAGTTGACTGGACAGAAGCTGATGTGACCTTAGCTGGCCAGACTGTTCGCTATCCTGTTATCCTTGCACGTAAATTTAATCAAAAAGTATTGTTAGGGACTGAGTTTATGGTCGAAATCGGCCTAGTTCTGGATATTCAGTATTGGTTAAGGGACAAGCCTTTAGCAAAATTTCTTCTTTCTACTGATTTACATCAATCTGGTAGATTAGACATTCCTGTCTATGCAGTAGAAAAGAAAAGATTGCCTCCCTTTCATCAAACTTTTGTCTCTGTTAGGACGTCACCGAAAATAAGTGATCAAAAATGGGAAGCGACTACAACATGTGTTGGTACACGTTTATCGACAGCTAACAGTATTGTTACTGTTGATAAAAATATAACTGGCGTGATGGTTGCAAATCTGACCCCACGATGGACTCACATCCGTTGTAGACAAAAGCTAGCGTATTTTGATCCATTTTCCTCTGCTTCTAGTGCACAAAAACCTGAAGGAGTTGACGATACATTTACAAACATTTCACAGGAATCACCGAAGCCTGAACTAAAAGGAAGACATACCTTCTCATTCTATTACAGACAAAAAATTAGATGCTTATATCGATAAGATCAGAAAGAAGCTTCAACAACAAGATCCATCCTATTCATTCATCAAAATTCGAAAGCAAAAATTAAATTTGATACAGATGTTGGAGAAACAACGCCTCAGCAACTTCTGCATAATTTTTAATAAAACGTCTGTAATAGCCAGTTAGTCCTAGAAAAGCACGGATATCCTTTGTTTTACTAGGAATAGGAAATGATCTTACAGCCTCTAACTTTTCCGGATCCGGTCTAATTCCTTGCGCACTTACGATGTGGCCTAAATATTTAAGTTCTTGATGGCAAAAGAAACATTTTGATGGTTTTAAAATCAGGTCACTGGTTTTAATGCGTTTTAGAACATTACCTATGTCTTTAAGATGTTGATCAAAGGTTGATGAATATATTATCATATCACCAAGGTAGACCATGCAACAGCTCCATTCAAACCTCGAAGGACAAGATCCATGAGACGCTGGTGCATTAGTCAGCCCAAATGGCATCACATTAAATTGAAAGATACCTTCATGTGTGACAAAAGCTGTTTTTTCTATACTGCCCTCATCTAACTCGACTTGCCATACCCTGATGAGAGATCTAAGGTGCTGAAATATTTCGCACCTCTTAAGGCATCGAGTGTATCATCGATTATGGGAATCGGATACGTGTCTTTCACTGTGACTTCGTTAAGTTTGCGAAAATCAATGCAGAAACGACCTTTTTAGGGACAAAAGTTACAGGACTGGCCCACGGTCCGAAACTAGGCTCGGCAGTATCATTATTCAACGTTTCGGCCGTTTGTTTCGTGCATTCTGCCTTTCTTTCAGGGTTCAATAATCGGTAAGGACTCTGTTTGATCGGTCTAGAATCACCAACATCAATATGATGTTTTACTATGTTGGTACGGCCAGGTTTTTAAGAGAAAATGTTTGAATATTGATGTAGCAATTGCCGTAGTTGATTTTCCTGATTTACGGAAAGCTCAGCTGATGTTAAATCGAGCTTTGAGAACCAGTCACCAGGATCATGTGTGGTATCTGTAGTATCTCTTGTTCTAGTGATTGGCTCAAAAAAAAGTCGTATAAAATCCGTGGGAAAGTCACATTAAAAATGTTGTTATTTTCGGGATGTCACATTTTACCGTTCGCTTCAACTTTAACATTGAATGGAATCGTGACATCAGGAAAAAACGTGACTTTTAACGGTTTTGTCGTCAACTGGTGCAAACACAATTTTTCTGTCGCGTCACAATGTCACATTTTTCCTGTTTCAAACCAGAGATTGACAAATGGGTGATCAAATGGGTTGGTTTATGGTGGTTTTAAGTAAATACTAAACTGTTACATTACTTAATAAATTGCATAACGGCCATTTTCATTTGTTTTCGATATAAATATTTAGCCTTGAAAAGTCTTCATTCGTATCATATCAATAACGGCCATTTTCTTTATTTTTGTGTTCCTTATTTCATGAACTATGTTGAAAAATTAAAGAAAAGTTGTTCTTTAATAGTTATTTTTATCGCGTTTGCTCCGAGGAAGTTCAAGACTGGACCTAACCGACGCCAAGATCGTCAAAGAGGTCTAATTTTTTATGTTTTATTACGACTTTTACTTTTTTGTTCATATTTCCTTAAATTTTATAAACTGTTCTGTAAAAATAAAAGTCATCTGGTAGCAATGGCTAATTTTTCTCAAAACTTTCTATGGCTTCCTTACAATACTGAACAATTTTTGCGCTTCCTCCGCGGAAGGTCAAAACTGGATCTAGCTATCGCCAACGTCTGAAAGGATTAAATGACAGCAGTGTACCTTGTTCTTCCAATACAGAAAAAAAAGTTGTATAGTCCGACGAACAGTAATCATTCATTCCGCCTATGCAGTATCTGGAAATGTTCATCACTTTTTCGCAAAATGTAACAAACAAATGCAACAATCAACAGTAAAAAAATACCATTTTCCCGTTTTCTTAGTATGTGGATTGTTTTTTTGTGAGTATCTCGGTATTTGTAGCAGGATCGAAAAAAACGAAAACAGAAAATTAAATCTCAACTAGTCTTTGTTTAACTCCAAAACCTTCATCCAATAAATTTCACTAAAGAAATTTTCTTATATAGCACATAATTATCGACAGCCCATATACTATCTATCACGCAAAAAACGTGACATGCTAGGTTATTTATTGCTGCACAATGTAACTGGAAAAAGTAAAGATGTGGTATTACTTTTACCATATTGGGCAGTTTTAACCAGTAGAAATCCAGTCACTGCAAGAGAAGTGATTTTACGTTAAAAATGTTGACAGCATTAGCAGAATCCATCCGGATATATCGTTGCCACAGAAAAAACGTTAAGACAACATATATAAAGTCATGGAAAACATTTGTTGCATCAGATTTCATGATGGAACATTTTTGTTGCCTTTTTCTGGTCACTTTTTTTTTACAGTTAACGCATATGCATAAATACACAGATGTTTTTACGTTCTCTTTTCCTGCATTGAACAGCAAAACACCCATTCAGAAAGAAGAGCTTATCCTCTTTTACTAATACCAAAAAGTGACATTTCCGTTCGAATTCTTTTAACCACAAAGATATTCTCAGAAATCTAAAATTAAAAGAATTATTAAAAGAAAGTCTATCAATAGTTTATATTTGACAGTTAGACAAAATATTTTCATATTGAATTGATTGGTTTATCAAAATACTAGACGAAAAACAAGAAATGGATGTATTCAAATAGCTGACAACCTTGAGAAAGAGAAACAGAGAAAATATTGGAGCAGGCAGATAGAAGGTAAAGTTTTACCAGTTTTTCGAAAGAATTATGCTGACAATTATCAGATTCTCTACAAGTAGAAGAGAAAGGATTTTCAATGCCTTTTTTCTTATGTTTTCAATTAGATCATTCTCTAAAGAACGATTAACAATTTTTAAATAACGATTATTATCACTCTTTTTAGATAGAGACACTGGCTTTTTTTCTTACACGCATGATGAGTAAACATCTTATTTGCAACTCTTATGGCTCAACTTTTTGGTGAGATCAACATATTAAGTTTATCGAATAACTGATTGTTGTTATTTCTTGTTTTCTTATAGAGGCCAGTAACATACTGAAACGATTAAGTGAACGCTTAGAAGAGCGTGGTCAACCTGATCTTAATTCACTGCAAACAATAATTGACAGTCCATTATTTAACACATTATACAATTTACAATATTCATTTCAACGTTTAAAACTTGAATACGAAAAGGGGAATCAGTCAGTAGCAAACGGTGCATTCGATTTTGATCGTGACGGATCTCTTAGAATCAACAATAAAGACAAAAATATTGTGGAACACGAAAATTCATCAGTTGGACAAGAAGATCAAGAAATTTTATTAAGTATGCGCAAAAGCGTCTGAAATAACGAATAAGCACTTGGTTTTTTTGGCTTAAATATAGTTAATCATCTTCTTACTTTTACTGCAGATCATACACTCCTTCTTTTCCTCTTCCACAAGAGAAACTCGTGGAACAAAATTTGTTATCCTATTTCTAAACCGTCAATCTTTCGAGTTTATTAATTTTCTACTCTCCTTTTATTATTTTGAACTAAATCTGAAAAAAAAACCAAGAACGAACGTTTTTCCTCGCAATTTCTCTGCTTTGCAACGAAACTGCAATGGGGGTGTTATATCCGATATTACGGCATATTTAGTTAGTCTCGGCTACAGTTAGTTTCACCTGTAGAAAAATAACTAGAAAGATTAATGAATAAAATCATTGTTTGATTTCTCGATTAATTTTTATGTTATTTTAGCTCTTTAATTGAAATTCTGATGTCGTCTGTTATTTTCTGTATGTTCAAATTTTTATTCTAAAACAAAAATCATACTTCTTTTATGTATTACTTTGACAATCTAATTCACTTATTTACCATTTAGAGCATCAACTTATACATTCTTGTTACTGTTTTTTAGCTACTGATTCTGAAAAATCAAATCAAATCAATTTTGAAGAACGTTTATCCGACAACATTGTATTAAAAAGAATAATATTTGAAAAAAAATCATCTAATGATTATTTAGGCTTTAGTATCGTAGCATATGAACATCGTTTATTTTCTATCAATGGTTTATTCGTTCAAGATATACAACAAGGTGGATTAGTACAAATGTAAGTTTTTAAATGAAGTTTTTTTTTAAAATAAATTTTAAAGAGTTGAACGATGATATCAAAATGGGTTAAAAATAGAGATTGTTGAAGCAACTCTTATTTTGAACGTGTTTTTTGTCGAAGTTTATATTTACAATTCTTTTGTCTTTATATTCTAATATCCCTCTATAGAGACTTATTTTTATAAAAAAAAAGTTTACATTGTCTATTTACGTTGTTGGTTGATTGTTTCCGTTACTACGTACTGACTATCAGAACTCATTCGAGAACATAGTCGAACACCTTTATGTGACGTCAACCATGCACATAATCGTTAATCAATTTTCTCCTTTTTGCATACATTATTAAGTACTAGAGTCCGCCTATTTTAATTTATTTCAAATCTCTTGAGTCTCTTATCACAAATATTGGGAGTCGTACAATGTAGAACTTCTCTGAGAGATATATGTTCATGTACAAACGTGTAACTTATCGATCGATATAGGTACAATAGAACCATTTTGTTTTTTGTCATTTTCTGTTCTAAGAATATATCATTCCATTAAATGATAGATAGTTTCTATGCGAAACAACAAATATAGCAATGAGATATAGATATATTTTCTCTTTTTTCCGTCTGCAAAACTCTCTCAAATTAACACATCGTACTAATAATTTCCCTATTCTGACGTCAACGATTGAGAGAGAAGGAGAGAGATGGTCCTGGACTGACAATTTTTATATTCGATTCACACTCGGTATCAACATGGGATTTGTTTTTTTCTCTTTCGCTCTCTCGTTCTTTCATCCTTTCGTTCTTGTATGTGCGTGCGTGTGTGGGTTTTAGGGGAAATATGATATTTTCTCGATGTTGAACATTGTCTAATTTTTTTGTTGGTTTTTTCTACTTGACGACTTAAAACAATTATGAAACTTGCGTGTGTGATTCTTTTCGAAAATGAAAATCACTTGAGAGATCGATAGTGTATGTTTGTGTCAAGAATTGAAAAATAGCTACATCTTCATTTATATTACTTAAAAGAAAAAATTTTATTTTTATCTAAACTTGTTGATACTGCCATCTGTTTCTCTCTATTGTATGTTATAACTGTGATTGTTGTGTTTACATAAATGAATATATAGATTTATTCATTTTTTTGTATTACTATATTCAATCTGTCAATGAATATAAATATCCAGGTCTATGTCATAACAAATACAAGATGAATAAAATTTTTGGTTTTAAACTTTTTCATTTTCTTAATAACAAATTTTTAGACTTATTTGAATTAATAGTACAATGATGATTATTACTCATTGGGACTCGTTTACACATCATAATCGACAAATTTTCTTTTTATGTATGATGATCAATGTCCTGTTGTGAGTTTTAGTGACGTTGTTACATCTCTTCATCATCATTTTATTGTCGACTAACCAAGACAAGAAGAAAGAAAGAGTGATGTTGTTAGAATACTATAAAAAATATGGAAAAAAAAAGAGTTGATGTAATTCGAATTTGTTCGCATTGTCAATAGTTTCTTAATTAGTTATTTTCTCACCAAACTATGCATGATATAATAATTTTACTGATACGAATAGACAATATCATTTGCTTTATCTGTAGTCATTGGTATTAAGAAAAGAAACTGTAATTCTCGAACTTATAAGAAGAACGCCAAAAAATAAGATATTTTGTATATTTATTGAGATACATACTATATAATTTAGTACAGAATATGAAAAGGACAAAAAAAAAGCGAACGAAGATTCTTTTTTTTGTACAAACATCATGTTGTGAAGTGTCATTATGAGCCGTATAAAAGTGTCCTATGAGAGAATATTGCTAGTTATACTAAAAAAATCTGTCTTTCTACCAACAAGCACACAATTAATAGTTGTATGACTTTAAAAATTTCCAGAAGTTAAACTATTTTTTTCCGAGAGTTTTTCAATTTTTGTGAAAAAAAAATATTTTAATTATTTATTTCTTGCCATTAATCCAAAAATATCCATGGACTTTCGTTAATCCGACAGTTAGGATCCCAATCTGAATTAAATTTTTTTGTTTTAATCAATTTAGAATACGTGAATGACGTCTTAAATATTTGCCATGATCATGCAAGATGCTCTCAAAGCTTGTCAATTTAATCATGTAACAGTGATTGGATCAATCAGTGGGTATCTATATTTTAGAGTTGGAAAAAAATGTTTTACATTGAATTCTTAGTATATTTTGGATTGTTACTAGTCCTACTCTAAAATAGCAATTATTTTATGTCTTAACTTTGACTAAAATTTATTTATACTCGCACGAGATCGTTGCGTTGTAGCTTTATAATTCACACACAAAAAAACTTGAAACATCATTATCAAGCAAGGTTTTTTTGTCCTCTTTTTTTTCCCTGCTGTTTAGCCAATATAACCTTGAACGATCTCGCATATATAGAAATGATTGTTTGACTATCGTTTGTCATTTTCAAAAGTCATGCGAAAGAAAGAAAAGGAAAAAGACGAAGTGTTCCTTCTTTCGCTCTCCCATTTTTCCGATAATTCGCGTTTTTCTTCTTCTCTTGCTAGAAATACCAGTAGTTACTTTGTCTTCGTACACACACACACACATATACACGCATACACACACACAACATATATATATATAGAAAGGAAAACATCTTTTTTAATTCTATAAACGTACACCCATTTCTTTTTTTTTCTCTTCTCTCATTTGTTATTATTTTTTATGTTCAATCTTTTTTCTTCTTTTCTGTTCACCTTGTCTGATTTCTTTCCTTTTTTTTTTCTTTTTTTTTATCTTTGCTTTCATCATATATCCCGTTAATTAGATGAAATAAAATTTCATCTTATACATATGAAATAAAGTGGATAGATATGCCTGAGACTATCGTACAAAGATTTGTTTTCTCATTTTTTTGTTGTTTTGACAGTTCGTTATATTTTAGATGCTATTTTTATTCTGATTTTTCTCGTGGTTGTATGATAATCGAATAATAATTAATCACTAATAATGATGATAATAATAATAATATATAATGAAGAAAAATGTTAAATTTCGTTGATAACGGCATTAACGCTTTTTATGTTAATGAACTGTATCGTGTTTGTTTATTATTCTATTACGTGGATATTTGTTTGTTTTTAATTTTTTTAATTTACAAAGATTTTTTATATAGATTTGTATATATAATGAAGTGAATGGTAAGTATCTTGGAGACTATGATCGATTTTTTACAGGGAAAAAAAGTATAAAATTGTCTAAAACATTCTAGTCTAATATTACTGGTGTATAATTCAAAACAGAGTAAAATCGGTTTATTTATTTATTATTTTTCATTGTGAACATTGTCTAATTTAAAACCAAACTATAAAGTTTAAAAAAAAAAAAAAAAAAAAAATTTCAAATAACGATTATTCGTACTAGATCATCAGAGTTTTATTTATAACAATGCACGTTATTTTATGTTAAAAAAATAGATATATTTAGTGTGTTTCCTGGTTAAATTTATTTATGAATTGTTGTTTGTTCCCTCTATAGTTAAACACTCATAGGAAGGAAGACATTTTCAAATCGTTTTAATAACTTTCTGCTTGAAAACTGTACTCTCATTCACTAAACTTCTCTTGTCATACTCATTTCCTATCATCAACTGCACATTATTCCGCTGGGTGCATATTACTAAAATGATTATATTAATTGCAAAATTTTAAAATGTTTTTGTAATAATACAAAATTAAATTATGATAAATATAATTATATTAGTAAAATTAATTTCATTCAAAAATCAATTTTTAACTTTGTATGTTTGTCATTGTCACGAGAGAAGAGTTATATATACAGTTTAGTATAATCATCAGGGACTAGATCATTTGGTGATTTTATTTTTTAAATTCTTTTTATTGTTGTTGTTGTTGTTGTTATTATTATTATTATTGTTTTCCTTGTTTTTGTTTCAACTTGCAAAGTAAAATGTCTATTGTATCGTATATAGTTTAGTCATAACATTATGACATAATTAAATGTAACAAATGAAAAAAAGTTAGTGCTTCAAAAAGAGATTAAATTCAACTACTCTTGTATTTTATATCACCTAAAGGATAAATTTGTTTCTTTATACAATTGAAGTGATATCGAAAAATATATGTACGTATACATTCGATGTATACAAAAGGTTTCTTTTTTTTTGACAAAGTCATAAATACTCAATAGTATGATATTAAACCAAAGAGAGCCGATGGCAACATTATTGTTGAGTGCTATTCGAAGAAAGAAAATAAACAAACAAACAAAAAATAAAAAAGGAGAGAAAGAGGATTAGAGTAGAAAAAGAAGGAGAAAAATACACAAATATAGTTAGTACACGAAAGAATATCTAAGGATTACAGTCGAAAATGCCTTCGGGTTTTTTTCTTTTCGTAATTGACAGATATTCACCGATCAGTGATACTGTGTAGGACAAAGAGACAAAAAAAAAAAAAAAAAAAAAAAATGAAAGTTTTTTGAGAATTGATCTGTGTTTAGTATCTCATGTGTTCTCATTGATGTTGTTGATAGATCAGTTAGTATTGATTTCACTTAAATTTTTTTATTTCATATGGTATATGTAGTCTGAGAACGAATCAATACATTCATTTTTTTTTTGACATCATTTTTATCTGTTGTTTTTTTCCTTTTTTTGGATTAAAACCATGTTTAACGGATGATTTTGCACTTAATGTCAAGCTGTATTGTTCCCATATTAGAAAATTCATTTTTCTATTGTAGAAAAAAGCATTATAAATTGAAATTTTCTCAAAATAGTAGTTTAGAGAGAATACATGATAATAATAACAAACAAAAGTGATCTTGCAAGATGATGAAAAAAAAAATCTATTTTCGAAGAGATAATCATTTTTGAATTAAAATTGGAGAAAAGTCGACTATATATTTAGTTCATTAGAAAAAGCGTAATAAATTGATCATATTGTGTATTTGTTGTATGTTTATTTTATCTTTTTCTAGTTAAACTATTTATGCTAAAAATTTACATCACTTTTCTCTTTCTAACAGTAGAAACACAAAAAAACTGAACTCTCTATCACGTCTAGAACATCAAGAAATATTACCTGACATTTTATGCAAAAAAGAAAAATCTTTTGCATCATCCATTATTCTCTCTGATAAAGATGAAGAGAAAAAATTAATTTTTTTAATCCATAGAATTTGTATATACATACAACATCAAGAGAAATGTAGACCTTGTTGACACAATATTTTTTTTTTTATTGCTTTGAAAAAAATATTGACTATTTTATGATAAATTAAAATTTCTTGATATTATTGCATAAGTTGCAAAAATAAAAAACGTGTGTTGTTTTTTAGTATAAAAAATTTACATTTTACACTCATTTAATATTGCAAGAAAGACATTGAACATCTGTATATATTTAAAATTGTTTTTATCAAGACGGTTTTGTTTTCCCTTTTGTTTGAAATTCATAAGAGAACAGCGTCGTAGGATGTTTGTTTGACTATATGATATCAAGTCTTTGTCTATTTTTCTAACATTTTGACGTCTCACAGAATTATCGTAATAAACAAAAAACACCAATCAAAGATAAACAATCTCTATCTACTTGTACCATTGTAAAGTAATATATTGATGTACTCATCTATTTGCTGATCTTATAATAAAAAATGAAAAAATAGTCTCAAACGTTTATAAATATCTTTTTTCCGGTATATTCTATGGTTATAAACAGTTCATAAATTTTTCTATAATAAACAAATTTTGACAAGGAAATCCTGTTCACAACTGTTCGAATTGTAATTTTCATATTTGTTTATTTATTAAATATGTTTTTCTACTATTTAGTAATTTCCTTCCTTTATTTTAAATTTTTGTTTTTTTTATTTTTTAGTTTACTTTGTTTTGTTTGTTTTTTCAACTAATGTGACTGTATTTCTTAAGTTTTTATAACATCAATATTTTATCTTTTATTTTCCTTTTTTTATAACAATAATTTATTTCATAGTCTAGTTAAAATGAGGGCGACTAAAACAAAACAAAACAAAAAAAAAAAGAAAAGATCATCTGTACATTACTAAGACAAAAAAACATAAAGGTAATAGAATTTAGAAAATTTTTATTTGAAAAATAAATTGAGATTTTATATCTATTTAAAACATGTGTGTCTTATTAAATAGTTAAAATTATCGTTCCAAAAATGTGTCATTCATTGATTAATAGCACGAAGCATATTGCCCATATGTTATTAATCCTCACGTATTTTCCATTTGTATCTGTTTTTCTACTCTCTATGAAGGCGTATCATATTTAATATGATATTATTGGATAAAAAAAGTATCCGTATTAGATTTTCTCTCTATCTAAAGATATTTTCTTATTTTTGAAAAAATAAATTTAATATTCACTTACTTGCACTATTAATAGTTTATTTATTGAACATATTTAACATTTTCTTCATTCATTTTTCTATTTATAAAAAAAAGTTTATTAATGAAAAAAAAGAGAAACAAATAAAATGAAGGTGGAAATAAATGTAGACCGATCGTAGCAGTCCTTCTCAAAAGAAGTTTCAATATTAGCTTATAAAATAATTTTTCGTATATACTTCTTTTTTTTTTTCAATTTATCGATGAACAAAAAGAAATTTGTTTCTAGGTAGTGTATAAAGTGATTTCATTATGAGTAGACATAATATTGTACTTTTTAGAGATAGAGAGAGATAGATATTTTGATCAACATTTGACTTTGCATAATAAATAAAAAAAAAACTTTTTCATTTTAACCATATTGAAATTTTGAAGATGTGAGTTTAAATATAAAATCCTATTAAAATAAGATAATTTTTTCTGTTTTATTTTAAAGATATGTTGTTGTATAAGTTATGATTATATTATAATATTATAATATTGATCAATGCAATTTTTATTATATATATTAATATTTTATTTATTTATTTATTTTTTTTTTGTTTCTCGTTTTAGAGATGGTTCTCTCTCACCAGGTGATCAAATCGTGGGGATAAACGAACATTATCTTGATTCAAAAGATTTATCAATTATTTCTCAAGCTATTCATTTATTATTACATTCTAAAGGAACAATCGATTTAGTTATAGCAAGAAATATAAAAAATTTACCCCATGGTAACCTGTCTAAAGACAGGTATCCGACGGGGAACGTCATACCATTTAACGTAGACATGGTGGTAAGAAAATGAATGTTATTGTTGTTTGTATATGAAATTCAAAGTAATTATTATAAAATAATTTTAAAATTCTTTAGATATTGCATGATAAAGAAGGAAACTCCTTTTTACTTGTTGAAAAGTAATAAAAATGTAATTTAGGTAGTATTAACTGTCTTTTCGACATTTAAGTTAATCTATTTTATGAAAATTAAAAATAGATCAAGAATAAGCGCTAGTAGTTTATCAAATATTCTTTAATTCAAAAATAGATATTTTATTTTCATGCGCCGCTTGTCCTCTGTACGTCACTTTTCTGAACAGGCTTTAATGTACCAGTAAATCTGCGTATGTTTAATGTCAACAATGTAGAAAAAATAATCTAAGTGTTTAATCAAACTCCTCTATCGAAAAAACATAATTTTATCCTTGACAGTCTAATATCTTTCAATATATATCGAACAAAAACAGAAGTATCCATTTTTTTTTCTCCGCTCTTTTTGTATATATATGAAAAGTTTAAAAATATAAAACATAGTTCACACTATGTTCTATTTCTATAGTCGATTCGGTATAGTATGGCATAATAAAAAATCCATAAAAATCATATGCTCAATGATTTATTTTGTTTATTTTAAAAAAACTGTTAATAGAATATAATCTGAAATAGAATTATAATTAGAGGATAGAAGATGAATGACATAGTTTTGTTTGAATGACAATGTAGTTAAGATTTGTATATGCTAGTATAAGTAAAATATTATGTACATATTCATCTATCATCTAAACAAATTGTATATCTGACAGAAATAGTAATAAATATACAGACAGACAGCTGTTTGTTTTGTCAATATTTTTTCGTTTTTTTTCTTTTTTTCTTTTCAGTTAAATACCGAGTGGACACAAATCGAAGTTATCGAATTAATAAATGATGGATCCGCATCCGGATCTGGAACAGGCCTCGGTTTTGGTATTATTGGAAACAAATCGACTGGTGTTATAGTCAAAAATATTGTTCCTGGTGGAATTGTTGATAAGGTATAAATAGATAACATTTTTTTGCAAATTTATGATGGTCTATGATAATCCCGCAATCAAAATGCCTCCTGAGCAGAGCCCTGCAGGTTGCCACTTTTTGGCAACCTAAAACCTGACCTATAAAAATTTTCACAACCTAACCCCAATCTAACCTATGAAGTCGGTAACCTAGTCCTAACCTAACCTATCCTGTGATTTTTTATTTTCAACCCACAGAATGTTACACGCATATTTGACAACTTTGTATGTCACTGAGTTTTTTGCCTGTCAAAGAATTGGAGCGTGGATGCCTCAAAAGCAGAAAAAAATTTCGCTTGCGCAAAAGTAGAAAGAAATCGAAAAAAATTAAAACACAACCTAAAATCTAACCTGTAACTTTTGTAACCTAATTCTAACCTAACCTATAGGTTAAGGTTAGATTAGGTTTAACCTGGAGGACTTTGATCCTGAACACATTAATTATTATTATAAAACAATTGATGATAGAAAAGTATATTTAGAATTATCTGTTATCACCAACAGTGTACAAAGGTTTTTACGATATAATACTCGGACGATATACTCGGACTGAAGGTTTTTTGGAAAGACTCGGACTCGAACTTGAGTTTTTGTGTTTCGAGTCCGATCGATTTAAGTTCTTACATAAATGAACAGGAAAATTTTCAGTTTTTCAATATGTATGGGATGTGCAATAGGAGTTTACTTATGTAACTTTTTCTGTTATAATAAGATTGATGTGTGATACGGCCGGCATAGGAGAAAAGAAATATGAATAAGGACAGCCAAAAAGATTCACTCGGACTATGTATCTCCCCGGACTCGCCAAGCTCTGCGCCTTAGTATGACTTCAAAAATAGCTAATTATGAACAACTTTTAATATTGATCACGAATTTGATATCTGTTGCTGTCAAATTTCAAATATTTCGTCAAGTAAAATTTTTATTTCCCTGTGAGAACTCTCTTTAAATGCAAGAAACTGCAGACACAGGTAACTTGATATACTCTATAATCTGGTCATATTAGAATCGGTTCGTTTCAAAGTTCTTGATGGATCTCTGGAGATCTGAACTTTAGAGACTCATCCAAGAAAGTAATGGTAACAGCAACAGATATCAAATTCGTGATCTGAATCAAAAAGTTACCCATAATCAGCTATTTGTGAACGCATTCTCAGGAAAAACACTTGTTCTTAGAGAAATGTGTCCTTGTTAGACGTTAAATTTTCGAAAGTTTTTAGAATGTGAAGTGAAGTGATTAATCGTTTTTCAATCTGTATTACATTGAAAATGTCTGAAAGTTGAGTGGAATCCAATCGTTTAATTTGTAAGATCAACAGCTGTTGTGTTCGTATTAACAGGTTCGCCGTTTTTTAGCAGAAAAAAAAAACATTTTTTCTCTTTCTTACGTATTCATATAGTGAATGAATAGAAAACGAGTAAAGAAAAAGAAAACTTTATTAAATTTATTGATAATACTAACACAGTCAAATATAGAGATTGTTGAACATTCTTTATGAACGCATCGTATCGTAGAGTTTTTCATAGAATTTCTTTTTTTATCTTTCTTTTTGTCTCATCTCGGCATCATAACAATAATATGTTGCTAATGGTTCGAGGGTGTTAGAAAAAATGAAAAAAACTATATATATATATATATACATACATTTGATTTACTACACATATTGTAAAGATTAATGATTTTTTTTCTGCTTTGTTCGACAAATGTTTGCAAGAAGAGAAGAGAAGAAAAAGAATCGTTGACATGTCATTATCATTTTGGGCACATGGTCGGGCTTTTGAGATGATGTATGTGAAACGTTTTCAGTATATGCTCAGGTAATTTGTTATAACATGTGTCTTCTGCAGAACGTTTATTCCTTAAGTCTCAAAAGTTTCTAGTTCTCTTCTCTATTTTTCAACACTTTTGTGATGTGTTATTTAGTTAAACACAAAAATCATTTCATTTCACTTATGTTCTCTTTAAGTGTTTCTCTCTACATGATTCATTAAGCCGGATGTAATATGTGTCTTTTTTTTTAATCTTCCTCTAGGATGGTCGAATACACACCGGCGATCATATATTTCAAATTAATCATTTAAGTGTACGTGGTATGAGTTCAGAACAAGTAGCTGGAATATTAAGATGTCAAAATGCATCAAATCAAGTTCGACTTGTTGTCGCACGATCTGTGCGTGATCATTCGTGTTCTACATCAACAATAACAACATCAACAGCAAATCCAATTGAAAATTTAGAGAATTCTCCTATTATAGTTCAGAATGATGGGATTAATACCCAAAACGATAGTATCACAACAACAACAACAACAACACCAAATATTAATAACGGTTATATTGTAAAAGATAAAATATTATTACGAACAAAACATTTATTAGAAGGAAATTTAAGTTTTGAAAAATTATTAGAAAATCTACGTGAACAAGTATGTAAATTATCATTAAAAAAGTTAAAAAATTATATTAAAATTTTTATAGCCGGGAAATAAGATGTTATAACGGATGTCAGAAAATTTTTTGAACGAAATATTGACGATTTTTTCTCCACTGTAAAATAATTTCTCACTGATTCAATGAAGTGTTCCATAATCTACAAAAAACCAAACTTTACAAATATATCCTTGAAACTTTTTGATCAACTTTAGTTTCGGATAAATTAAAAATTTTCTGAGAATCTCAAAAAACAATTTTGACAGACGTTTTTCATGTTTTTCATATCGAGACAACTTCGAAAAAAAGTTTGAGTATCCAAACTTGTATAGCAAACATTTCTCTATAGAATTTGATAACAGAGTTTAGTTTTTCATAAAAAGCTTAAACGTTATGAAGCGCATAACAGATGTCACTTTTGCTAACTTCTAATGTTTTTCTCAAATTAGCAAAAAAAATGTATCACTGCTATTTTCAAAACTCTTATACTTTGCTCTATTTTTGTTCCTTTAAAACTTTGCAAGTATACCGTTTTGTAGAGAAATGTTTGCTATACAAGTCTCGATACTCAAACTTTTTTTTCGAAGTTGTCTCAAAATGAAAAACATAAAAGAAGTCTGTCAAAATTGTTTTTCGCGACTCTCGAAAAATTTAGATTTTTTCGAAACTAAAATTGGTCGAAAAGTTTCAAGGATATATTTGTAAAGTCTGTTTTTTTTGTAGATTATAGAATACTTCATTGAATCAGTGAGAAATTATTTTACACTGGAGAAAAAGTCGTCAAAATTTTGTCCGAAAACTTTTCTGACATCTCCTAGATAATTTTTCTTAAATATGCGTTCAAAGCCGGTTTGTTCATGTGATAATGTGAGAACTATCAAATCTGTGCTACTACCCAGGTGATAGAATCGTACTATCCGATCGTATAAGATCGTATACGAATCTTACAAAATCATATATGATTATGTACGATTTACATACCAATCATGATGTCTGATTTGTCCTCTGGTTCGTACTATACAATTTCATACGAAGTTATATGATCTACTACGATCGTATTATACAATCCAGAGGACAAATCAGATACCACGATTCATATATGATTTTCATACGAGCAGACGGTTTTGTCTGCTTCAGATACGATCCTATACGATTTGTTTGACCTGGGTACTGCTAAAAAAATGCATGCTGTTTTATCTCAATATCTTTTATTATTAATACCCATGAGGAAAAGCTCTCCAGTGTCAAGTCACTCTTGACTCAACAGACTCTGATATGATCACATTATAGAGCATGTCGAGCTGTAATTCTCATCAAATTCTCAGACTTAAGATCAGTTTTTGAAAATGTTAGTACCTCTGTCACATAGTTAGGTCATGCATGTTCTATACTCAAATATTGTTCAAAAATATCTCCAAAACCTGATCTTAAAGTCTGAGAGTGTGGTAAAAAATAACATGCTCTATTCTTATCTGATCATATCAGAATTTGTCCATTCGAGAGTAAAAGACGGAGACCAGAAAAGTCGAAAGACAGAAACGGATATGAGATTCGTGATTACCATCAAAAAGTATATTTTGGAAAAGTGTTTCTCATCAGAACGAGATTTGTCGCTTAGGAACATTTATCAGTGGTAGACTTTTTATGTAGAGAATGACAGGTGAAATATCGACTTAACTTGAGGAGAAAATAAACTTCACAACAGAACTTTCTAGTCTTGCGGTATAGTGTTTCGTGTGTATTGAAGTTGTAGCTAATATTTCTTTTCTTTGATTTGCTTTCTTTTTTTTTGTTTCTTTAAAAGAAAATCGAGAAAATTTTATTTAAAAAAGATAGATGTTGAAAAAAGATAAAATTGATTTTCTGCATTCAAGTTAGTTATAGATCAATTTTTGATTACTTTCGAATGTTGAAATTGATCCCAATTTTCTACTATTAAGTAATTTTATTGGTACATTGATGATGTTGGTGATTTTGACTCCAAAACCGTATGTAAGTGTATCGTGACCGTTACATCCCCTCTCTCATTGAACAAAGTTTCAACGAGGTCAGTTCTTGCGCAATGAACCTTAGTTTAGATTCCAATACAAAGCGTTGCAATTTTAAGCAAATATCTTTTTTTTAAGATTTTTTGCATCAACTCTGACATATCTACAAGAATTATGCCGGAGAGTACGGGAACGTTTTATTTTGAAGAAAAATGTTTACTCAACTGTAAGAAATAAGAAAAAACACTTTGAAATTAAAAAAAAAATTCTTTTTTCCGCTCACAGTTGAAAATCTATAAAAAAACATCATTTTCCGGAAGCAAAAGATCATACAGATCAGAACTATGTACAGGTCACATTTTGTCAACACGGCCTGCCCTGGTTTGACTCGTCAAATGTTTGTTTCCTACATATTCGAAAAAAATTCAATCATTATATAAGGAGAAGTGCAGCTTGACATGACACGCATGGTAAGTCGCTTATCGATTGATTAACGTCAACTAGTCATTGTTAATATACAAATTATACACAAAATTTTTTCTAAATTTAAGAATTTTTTTTTATTCCGCCTGTGCTAGTGCAGATCTCGGAACTATTCTCCATTTGTTAGAGAACATTTTAGAGTATATTCCAGCAAAGTCAACTCAAAACTGAGAAAGAGAAAGAGAGAGAGAGAGCAGTACTATAAACGTAGTTCGAATGTAATACTAACTTTCCAATACGTAATATACAATTGAAGTGCAATATTTTCTTCTATAATTTGTTATTTTTGTTGTTGTTACCACTTGTCAAATACCATATTAAATTTGCCATTCTATTTGCTTATGTAGAAATGTAAATTTAATACAATCACATTAAGGTTACGCGATCTCAAAGACGATAATAAATAAGTTAGTCAACTGATTTTGTTTCTTATTTGAAAGAAATGTGAAATTATGTACCATGAGATAGAGACAAATTTCATATAATAATAGAAATAGTAAAATATATTGTATTTGTGTAAAATGCACACGATATATGTTATAGAAAATAAAAAGTAGATAGAAGAAAAAAATTGAATTATCAAATTTGAAAGAAAAAGTAAAAATTCTGAACTTCCTGTTATGTTGTAATACCCGTGAATATTTATTTCTCTTTAAAACAAAATAAGATAAAACAGGTTATTTTTTGTTCTTGATCATTTTAATAATATATAGATTATGAAGGAAAAACCGGCACTTTGTTCATCTTATTTTTCTCTTTCTCTTTATCATTTTCATCATTTTATGCTTTAATGATATATATGTATGTGTGAAAAATAGCGATAATCGTAGAGTAGAAATAAATAAAATCTTTTTTTCTGTTTAGTACAACGATCTTTTCTCTGTATATATCAAGAATTTGTATGATGTGAGTAGCAGAAAAGAAAGTAGTATATCTTTATTCATAATTATGGGAGGTGTTTTCATAACATGTTACTATCGATCAACTGATAACGATGAACATCATTTTACTATGATATCGTTTTATTTTTTTTAAAAAAAGTGATTCTCTAGAGACATTTTGCATATTTTTAGTTATTTTTTTGTTACTGATGCTCTTTCTCTTTCTCTCTCTCTCTTGATCTTTTCTTATAATGGCACATTGTAAGAAATAACTCATTTTTCTCCTCTCGAACACATATTTCATCTATAACTCGTTTTTAATCAAGACACACAGGATATACGCTTGATGATTCAAACTAAAATGCGATTCTGAACCGAAATAGGTTTGTCGTTTGTTAAAGAAAAGAGCTCTCTCTCTCTCTCTCTTTCATTTGTATAAAACGTCTATTTTAAATATTTTTCAAGATAAAGTAAAAAAATAGCGACGTGTCTGAGTCAACGGACACGTAAGTTGATCATCATTTTAGAAGTGTTAATTTTATTATCGCTTTTACTGTTCACCAATTTGTGTAGAGCATCGAAAAACGTTGAATCAGAGTTCAATGCTTTACTATATTGGACAGAAGTTTTATGTTAGCTTGTAAGTCCACGTTAATATAAGTTTTGACTCCATACTATCAAATAATACTCAACAACAAGTAACATGAAATTTATTCAATATTTTCATTTTTCAAATAAAATGTGGATGAAAGGAAAAATTGTGATTGTATTTTGTGTTTTTTTTTAAATGAAGGTTCAATAGACGTTTGTATTATCGGTACTTATAGTCAATATTTTCCAACTTAATCGAAGTTTTTAAGCTTTTATTTTATTTTTTTCTAAACAACTCCCTAGTGTAGAAGTGATATTGTAGATCTGTGAGGATTATGCAAATAAAATATAATTCAATTTATATCAAGCAGACAGATATCATTCTTTAGAGGATTTAACTGAATAAAAAAACACATTATCGTTGAAAGTATAGCATGTTGTTCATTTTGAAGTATATTTTTGTTACTATCAATGATTCATAATTAATATTGTATGTCATCGATGATGAGAATAGAAAAAAAAGTCTAACCTATCTTATGAATTTCTCGTTTTGTTTCGTTTTACGACGATCATCTCTGATTCATATGATACAATAACCTTAAATCAATAAAAGAAAACATATACAAACATGTTTTCAGGAAAGAAATATCAAGTAAAACTGTAGGAAGCTGTAAAAAGTCAAAACAAAAGTATTTCTTAACATAATGATAGAGTAGCAGCTAGTCATTGACGAAAGAGTCATAAATAAAGAAAATAATAATGTAACAGTTCATAAAAAGAGAAAGCTTAGATGATTTTCTTCTTATGGATGACATCTTCTATTCAAATTCTTCCTTCTTATGTGCAGATGACAGGTTTGAGAAAGAAAAACGATGACAGAAGTTATAAAAAGAAATTGTATTGTAAAGATTGACTACTTGTGAAGAAAAGTTATCTGTTTTTTTGGAGAACTCTGTTTGTTATAAAACAAACAACTACTCCAATTTTCTTATGATTGTATATATCCTATAGGTTAATTAGTGTAGAATAAACTAAACTTCAATGTAAAACTCTAAAAACGATTAAGATTAGATCATACGAACGATCAGATTAGTTAGATTCTCTATTTAAAGACGTAGTATCTTCTCAAACTTTTTGTTTACTATATATCTCAACTATCTCTATGAGTTCACAGAATCGAAGTGTAACCTTTTTTTCTCTGTTACACAAGAAAATGAATTTAGCAGCTGTTTCTCTTCGTATTTTCTTTATCTTTTACTTCCAGGTGCTGTCTGCTTATCATATTTTTTTTTTCTTCAATAATATTGCTTTAGAATAAAAGATTCATCTATGTTTGACTCACACGATAAGCCATCTGAATAATAAATCTTTGTTCGTAGAATAATTACTCACAGTTTTTTTTTCTCCTTCTTCTTCTAAATCTCAAGTACATCATATTTTATTGTTCGATCACAATGTTGTTGATCTTACCCAAATTACTTCTTTTTTTTTTCTTCCTTCTTTATGACTAAAAGAATATGTCGTGTTCCATTCTGCTTATTTATCATTTCTTTTTTTTCTCTCTCTCACTTTCTCTTTTTGTTCTTGAACTAATATGGAAATAGTTTTTTCTATATGTGGTGTTTTGTCTATTGTATAAAAATCAAATAAACAATACACATAGAAAAGTTTTCTAATATCTCTTCCAATTATCTACCATACGGAGATTTTTCAACTATTTTCAATTAACAAATAATAATTTATTTTTTAATATATTATGCTTTTGGCTATTTTTAGTGTGCACATGAAGATGGTACAGAATTATTAGATGTTACATTAGAAAAAGGTGAAGATGGACTAGGAATTACTGTGGCTGGTTATGTTAGTGCTGATTCAACAAATAATGGTAAAAAATAAAAATAAATTTTTTTTCATATATAAATATTTATTTTATTCAATATTTAGATGCCATTTCTGGTATATTTATACGTGATATAGCGAGTGAAAGTGTATGTGCAAAAGATGGACGATTGAGTGTAGGAGATCAAATAGTTGAAGTTAATGAACAATCATTAAATGGTTTTCCAAATGTACAAGCATTACAATTATTACGTGGTACAACATCATCTGTTCGATTAAAAGTTCGAAGATATTTAGACGGTGTTAAACATGAAAAAATCAAAGAAATGATTGGTAATCTAAAATTAAAATCAATTATAAATATTTAAACTCTTTTCTTTTTTTTGTTTTTATTTTTAGCATTAGAATCATCACAACAACTTCAAGAATTAGAAGAGAAAATAGAATTTCAAAGTCCAAATGGTAAATATATTTTTTACGTAATTGATAGAATTTATATTTTCTCATCTACGATTGTATTATACATTTTTGAGATTCTATTTCGTCTATCTAATTCTATTAAAAATATTATCAATATTAACAGTGCTTTTCTTTGTAGAAATCAACGAACAAATACGACAAAAATGGCTTAAATTATTAGGTGGTGATAACTATGAAATTCTTGTACGTTTCACTTCTTAAAATAGAAATTATTCGAAAAATAGACAATAAATTTTGATTATGTTTCTGTTAAGATTGCTGATGTAGTTAAATCGGATGTTAGTGGACTTGGAATAACATTAGAAGGTACGGTTGATGTTGAAAATGGTGAAGAAGTACGTCCACATCATTATATTCGAGCATTATTACGTGATGGATCCATTGGACTCGATGGAACATTAATGCCTGGTGATGAACTACTCGAAGTAAGAATAAAAAAAATTTCCTATGAACATTTGAAACTAAATCTAAAAGATATATTTCTGAAAGTGGTACAGTCATTGTATTAAATAATTATAAAATTTTCTCTTTTATTATGAACAAAAAGTTTTGAACATTTTTGTACTTTTTAACTACAGTGAAGAGAAAAAAAAAGAGAGTAGTAGTAGAAAGATATCGAATAAACAATGAGAAAAAACTTATAATTTAGATGTTTATATCCGATTAAATTTTTAACTCTGTTATTGTAACTGTTCCTTTCTTCTAAAGGTAAATAATCATGTTTTATATGGAAAAAATCATATTCATGTTATTGAAATATTGAAACATGTTAAAAATCAAGTTAAATTAATATGTGCAAGAAAATATTATGATGAAAATCATGCTGAAAATAATCGTGATACATTTAGTAAAACAGCTGAATTAATTGTAAAAGCAAAAAGTATGGGTACATTAGATGAATCAAATAGAAATTATGATAATAATTCAAATAAAATATGTTTTACACATTATCCATCATTAATTAAACCAAAATCACGTTCATTAGAAGTCATTTCAAATTTGGCAATGTGGAGTAATTCAGTGACAAATGTTGAATTAAAAAAAGAAGATTTTGGTCTTGGATTTTCAGTATTAGATTACAATGTATGTAATTTATGCAATAAAAAAAATAACAAAAATAGCTAGAAAATTATGTAATATGTTTTATTTCTAGGATCCATCTCAACCAAATCGTTCACCGGTTATTGTTATTCGAGCACTCGTACCTGGTGGAGTAGCTCAATTAGACGGTCGTATCACACCCGGTGATCGTCTATTAGCAGTAAATGGAATTCAACTTGATAATATGGGATTAGATGAAGCTATTAAAATACTTAAAAGTATTCCACGAGGCATTGTCAAATTAAGTTTATCAAAACCATTACCGTATCCAAAATCTAAAGATGATGAATTAGATGATAATCGACTAAATAGTATTAATAAATCAAAAATGTCCAAAACACCAGTAACAAATGGTCAAGTAAGTAAAATAAAAAATGATTGATAGATTTTTTTTTCTCTCTCTCTCTAGTATGTACAATTTTAAAATTTTTCAGTAAAAATGAAAGAAAACTTGGCAAATATTATTCTTCACAGAGTATAGAAAGTAATATTGATTATAAAAATAGACAACATAAAATATATTTGACCTCGCTAGCTTCATATATCATGAAAAATAAACATTATAAAACAATTGCCTTCTTTTGCTCTTCAACCAAACAAATGCTCATTTACTTGCTTCAGAGATATTTTTTATTTTTATATTTTCATAATTTAATCATACAAATATTATAAAAGCACTTGCTCACTATGTAGAAGGAAAATTTTTTTTTTTAATTTTTATATGCTTTGCTATTATTATCTAAAGTGAGAGAACGATATGCTTATACATACAAGTCATATTAAACAACTTTAATGCTTGCACATGCTATTTTAGAATTAAAAAAAAAAGAATATCAGAAAAAAACTTTTTATGTTGACAACATATTTTTATTTAAATTTTGAAAAGACAGTTTATATTTAGAGGATACATTTTTTTCGACAATAAGGAAAGAAATCGCAAAAAATGAAAAAAAATTTTTTTTGTGAAACTTAGGATAGATATTGATGAATCTAATGAACAATAATCTATCATAGAAGTCAGTGAATGTCAAACAATCTCTCTTAGAAAATTTTGAACGGTGAGGGTAAAACCTTCTTCTACATTAAAATATGACTAATAATAACATCGAACTAACAATTTGGTTATTTATTTAGTGATGATTTTTTTTCACTATCATTTTAATTTCAAAAATCCTATTAAGATAATTAATTATTTTATTTTATTTTTGTTTATTAAGGTCAATCATTCAGATAACATATTTCAAACGAGTGATAATAAACCAACTAAAATTAATCAAATTGTTCATGATCCAGCTGTATCACCGGGCATCGCTCTTTCAGCTCCAGCTATTTTAAATAAAGAATATTTTGAAACATTATTATCATTTGATAAACCAAAACATACAAAAAGTACATTTTTTAATTATCATCCACATAAAATAGATTCACCATTACCAGAAATTGATAATGAACCGCCATCTCCTGTTAAATTTTTTTCGAATGACGATGAATTATTAGATCTATTAGAACCTGTAAAACGTAATAGTATTATTTTTAATCGTGATCATGAATTAACTACGTCCTCTACTCTTGTACATGATGATGAACGAATGACACAACAAGAGGAAATTAATATTTCTTCATTTAATCATAAAATGGATGAACAACCAAATTTACCTGAATTTGTTCATTTTCAATCAGATCATCTTGTTTTAATGCCAACAACAGCATCTCTATCATTTTATGATCGTTTACGTGGTCCATCAGCATTTTCCTATTCACGTTTTAATCGTCAAACATCAACATTATTAGCCACACCATTAGCTACTACAACAACAACAACAGGAGTAGCAGCAGAATTCAATCCAATTACTACAATATCATCATCATCATCTCGATCAAATAAACGTTCATCAGCCACTGATCAATATTATCGTAATCGTCAACAAAGAATGATTGAAGATGAAGATGATGATTATGATGAATATTTAATACGTTCAACAATGATTAAAAAAAAATTTGAACCCTTAACATGTTTTCACGAAGTAAGTCAATCATTTTAAAATAAAATTGTTAATATTTACTATTAGTTAAGTACAATTTATAATTTTTCTAATATTAGTGTGTATAAATATAGAATCTAATTTAAAAGATCTTTTAAGATAACAATCTCAATACAAAGGTTATAGAATAAATTAAAGATTAGACGATGTCAAATGCATGATAGAATGTAAATAAGTCAAAAAAAAAAACTAATGGACAAATAAAAATTATGCATAATTTTTTTGTTTTTAGTTAGTTGCATTCAATCTAAGTGCTCAATCTGTGACGATATGGATCATATCTCAATCTCTTTTTCTTTGAGGTTTTTTTTTTTATTTTATTTTCCGGATATAGAGACATTCTTCTAGGAGAAGAAGAAGAAGAAGAAAAAAAAAAAAAAAGAAAAAGTAACGGCTCAATGGCTCTTTTCCTGACATCGTCTATGATATTTGGTTAGATTAGATTAGATTATAAACGATAAACATGAATAGTAACAACAACACAACAACAAATATAAAATATAAAAAAAAAAAAAGACGAAGAAAAAAAAAACATGATTGACAATACGCAAAGTTCTTTGTCGACGAGAAGTAGAAGAAGAAGAAAAAAAAATTACACAAAGTAGAAGAAGTAATCAAAGAGATTTTTTAATGACTCCTAGATGGATATAGACAACAAAAATGCAAATGAAGCGAAGGATAATAATTTTATTGAAAAATAAAAAAATAAAAGACTATTTTCTGTAAACATGTTAAGTATGTACTTATGGACTGTGATACTCTTATTTGACTTTTTACAGAAAATAATAAAAAGAAAAAGAAAATTGTGTATAAGCGATACGATAGAAAACAGATTTACTATCGGTCAAAGTCTTAAAAAAAATAAAATGAACAGTTAGATTTTAAAAAAAACATTTTCGATTGAAAAGAAAAAAAATATCATTTTATTGCTTCTTTTTTTTTTACGGAGACAATGTTAGATTCGAACGATTGTTTCAAACATTTTTTTTTTTTATCTTCGATCAAATAAAAATCTGTCTCTTTTTTTCTTCTTTGTTACTCGTTTGAGACGTTTGATCATTATTTCAAAATCTATATCATCAATACCTGTTTATTTATTTTCTAATTAATTGATTTAATGACTTGTTCGTTTGGTTGCGTACATATAATGAGGAACGTGCCGAACTTGTTCAAACATATTAATGTCTTTTTTTTTTCTCTCTCTCTCTCTCTCTTTCTCTCTTCTTCAAATACTTTACTATAATCATGATCTTTAAGTATGCTCTTTAAATATTATATACAACTTCAAATTTTCTTTTTGTGTCTATATATCTCTCTATATTCTCCGAAAAAATACAATAATTTGACTTTGTTCGTCTATAGATTCGAAATTTATATATATCATTTCTTTTAGTATAATAAAAAATTCCTTCGTTTTTTTTTTCTATCTTCTTCTTCTTCCATTTTTTTCTTCTTCTTTTCTTATACTTCATCTATTGTTATATTCATAAAACTAGTTTATTATTCAGTTTTTCTTTTCTTGGATATATATATCTTCTATATCTCTCTATATATATCGTGTATAAGACAGAGAAGATTATCTTCTAAGAAAAATATCTTTTATATTATCGCGTCGATGTTGATTAGAAACTGAGAAGGGAAAAAGAAAACAACAACGAACAGAAAAAAAAAAGATATTAATGGACAACTTCTTCACTCTTTTTTCTTTTGTTTCTAATAGAATATTGTTTTATTACAAATGGAATTTGTATTTCTAAAAGGTAATGAGAACCACGGTTTGTCAATGATAGACGATATTCTTTTCTTTTTCTTTTTCTTTTTTTTGTTTTAATAATTATTCGCCAATTAAATAATGAAACGAGATAACATTGCAGGTTTGATGATATGTATCTATGAGATAAAATGAACATATTATAGAGAAATTTGTTAAATAAAACAAATCTAAAGTAATTGTAAGAAGAGTTTTCAAGATGTCAAATTCAGAGAATAGTTTTAGACTATCAAAAAAAAATTTCTAGTGTAGAAATCTATCTGCATACCTCTAGTTGAACGATAGTTTTCTCATCATTATGACGCATACAATCGATGTTCTTGTTAAAAAGACGATATGTATGCGGAGCAAGACAAATGAATAACATGATAATTACACGAATCAGTAAATAACATTGATGAAATAACATTGAAAAAAAAATTGCCAAGTGTCGATTGAGACCGATAGAATAATGGTGCCCGTTTTTCTTCTCTTTTTTTTTGTCATTTATATAAAACTTCAACTATACAGTAAATAATGAAAGTATAAGAGAGAGAGAGAGTATGTGGGAATAGTCATTTTACAGATAATTACTGTTTTTGTGCAGTCTGGTTCTTAAATTCAATGTTAAAGCTAAGCATTGAATCTAAAATATACAAGAATTGTCTGTTTTTTACTTATTTACTGTGTATTGTGTAAAAAATGTCAACCCCAAGTCGAGATCGTTTACTTTATTCTTTATACAAGGCATTATTTAAACAAACGTTGTGATTTCTTCTTTTTTTTTTACGTTTCCAATAACTTTTAATTGTTACATTCTATGTTTGTTGTAGTTATCTAATTTCTATTTGAAATTGTATATTTTTCGAACGTTTAAAAGTGAGATGGCATTTTTTTTTTATGACAAAAAACTGTTGAAAATATTCAATTGAAAACAACAACAATATTTGAGCAAGAAAGTATGGTGTAATCGATAAGAATGATTGAATATGAATATTTACATTAGTTAACAAACATGTATAATGATGATGATGAAGATATGTTTTTGTCATTTTAATCTGACATTATTTTGTCGACAATGTTTATATTTCTTTTAGTTAAAACATAAAAAGAAAGAGAGAGCGAGAGAGAGAGACAGAAGAAGAAGAAGAAGAAGAGTACGATAGTTGTTGTGTTGTTTTTGTGTTTTTTTTTTTATATACCATAAAAATCATTTAACGACTGCATTGCTCTCTTTTTTCTGGTTTCTTGTATTCTAAAAAAAAAATTTTCAAAAGAAGATGAAAAAGAGAAAATATTCTCATTTTTAAGTATTTGAACATGGATGAGTTTTCTAATCTTGTTATGGTAGACATAGAAGACGAGACAAAGATTTTTTGATCTAATAAAATGTCGATTTTACGATTTATTTTTCTTCTTTATTTTTTTTTTTCTTCTTCTTTTGATTAAACACACTGGCATCATTAGTAACAGCAGGTTCGAACAAAATCGACATGAATTTCATTTTATACTTGTGTCCGTACGTGTATTGTTATTTCGTTCTATTGCTACTTTGTTCTTCTTCCTCTTCTTCTATTTTCTTTTGCTTTTGATTGATGTCTCTATACACCAACTGGTCATAGTTATGAAATAGCAGATTACATTTACTGTCCTAAAAAATGTTTAAAACAATTGAGGAGGATTATTGGCGTTTCGTACCTTTTTCTTGTGTTAAAATGTGTGTGTGTGTATGTCTGTCAGTATGAAAATGAAAAAAAAAAAGCGTAATCAGACGAAAAAAGAAACAAATTAAATATAAAAGAATAGTAAAAAAGAGAATCAGGACTGATGATATACAGAGGCAAAAAGCAACTAGCATGCATATAGACATCGTAATAAAAAAGCAATGAACTTTTTACTTTTTTTTTTTTTGTATGTTGTTTTTTTAATTCAATAGACATCAGCCACATTTTTTCTCATTAATTATGAAATAAGAAATAATTAAGATAAAACATGGGAAAAGTCTATTCTATTATTAGAATATGTTTATGTACAAAAAATCAAAAATGTAAAACTCAAGAACAAAACGGTATTAATGTAACAATGGTAAGGCAAAAATGAAATAAAATAGAGAGAGATGGAGAGAGAGAACAAACAAATGACCAGATGAATATATTGTTCTTATTCAATTATTTAATCAGATTATTTTTAAATTCATTAAGATCAAAAAAAAGAGAAAACACGAAAAAAAAGAAAAAAATTATAAAAGATACTGACTGGACTTGTTGTTTTCTTCTGTTTTTATTTTTTTTTTAAAATGAGTCCTCTCTAATACGGAAAATTATATAAAAATAAGACATCTATGACACATCAATGTTTAAAAATAAATTATAATATCCCATTACAATTGATCTCCATGATAAATGTACGCATTTAAATGAGGCGAACGAAATATTAATTAATTAATTTTTATTCCTTCTTTCTTTTCTTCTTCTTCAGATGTGTTCTCCTTTCTCCGGATGACATTCACAAGTATGTGATGTCAATTTCCTTTTGAACTGTAAGAAACTTCATTTTACTTTTAGCATTTCTAGTGAGATAAACATATCTAAGATTTTATAAAATATGAGACTTCAGCTGTGTTCATTATATTTCAAAAAAGAAAAGAGATTTGTTGTTTTTTTTGTTTAATCATCTATATAAACGTTTTGAGATAGAGAAACGATAAAATTTAGTTAAATATTTTAAAAATCCGATGTTATTAATTTTCTTCAATTGAATTTAGTAGACCATAATATAGAACGATGTTTTGTTTTATTTCCTATAGGGAAATAACAAATGACGATTGACCGAAAGATTAATTCTTTCACGTGTGTCCATCTTAAAAAAATGACAATGAAAATATATGATTGTTAATAATAGGACATTTCTCTGATGTATGTTATTATTTATAGAAGACAAAAATATATATAGATATATATATATTATAGTTTGTTTTTCACATTCTTTAAGCTATTTTAGATCACAGACTATTAATTCTCTTTGTTATTTTTATTCTCTTCCACATCAGTAATATAAATAATGTTATGTATAGTGCGCATGTGTATATGTAGAAAATTGACTGTTCAATTGTAAAAACCGTTTTTTATTTTTCTGTCCTATATAGATAATTTTTTTATCGTAATAATCTTGTTTTAGTTATTTTTCTATCGTATATCGGCCATTGTTTAGCCCTAAATCTAACAGACATAAAAAAAAAAAGAAGAAAAAAAGCCCAAATCAAAGAAGAAAAACGAAAAAAGAGTAGAATCGAACGACTTTTACTGCTAGAATTACGCGATCTAATAGAAAACATGTAGTTGTTTTTTTCATGATTATGGATAAAAGATAAGATTTTTCTGGTATATAACAAAAAAAAAAGAAAAAGAGGAGGAAACTGAATGGTGATATCTTTACGATTCACAGACTTTTGTGGTATGTGCACGATGAAAGTAAACAAATGTTATTTAATTATTCAAAAGAAAAATACAGTTCGGTTTTTTAGATTTTCTATTTTTTCCGGTTAAATTGTGATTTTTACACGTAACTCTTTGTTATTTCAATTGTTTGACAAAAATGGAAAACTTCTTGTGTTTGTCGAATAGTTTATCCAATCTATCGGTGTATTGTAAATAAAACTAGTAGAACTTTATTTAACAATTATGCTCTCTCTATTTGGTTTATGGAGTAGTTACCTGTCACTGACCTTTTCTAACTATATCTCAATCCGTATCGATTTAGAATCTCTGTTTTGCTAAAAACATAGAAAAACGTCTTTATAACGAACGCTAGATTATTTTGTTCTATTTGCTGTTTTATATATCCCAGTTATTATACTCGTCTGTATATGATTATATAGCTCGAAGTTTTGAATTTTTGACTTTTTCATAGAGTGGTCATATGGGTATCATCAAGTCGTTTTTCTTTTTCTCTTCTTGGATGTATAAATCATCTTATCTGTCTATAATTGCCACAAGACTTCATCTGTTTACATTCACTGTATTAACATAACTCGTATAGTAGATTATTCGCAGATTAAAATTGTATGCATTACGCTTTGACATAATTACTGGGATGTCTATAATTGAGTATATGTATTTGTATATGTGCACCATTAGTCATTAGTCATCATGGTACACACACACACACACACACACAAAACAAATTTAAAGTGAACAATTACATGTTGACATTAAGTTGATCTTTGTTCTATACATACACACAGACATATATACATATTACATTGCGCATAACTGTTAATAACTTGAAAAAAGAAGAAGAAGAAGAAGAAGAAGAAGAAGGTCGTCATCAGTACTATATATTATTCATTTCCACACAGCATGAAAATGTTTTAATATTCATACATGTAATTGAAAAAACGCTCTCTTTTCCTGAACTTATGCGTCAATTTGAGACCATATATCAAGATACATAACAATATAAACATTATATACTGGTTTCTATAGAAAAAAAACACTTATTTGTTATCTATTTCGCAGAAAAACAAAGTAATAGTTGTTGTTATTGTTGATGTTTTTTTTTCGCTTTTGCTTGTTCTACTAAGCATATCTCATATAAGATAATAACTTAGTATAGTGTTAATGAATTAACATTAACGTAGCCATTATTTTTTGTTGTTTTTAGCCTGACTATAGTGGAAGTGGGAGTGGCGGTGGTGGCTTAAATAATATTAATTATCGGGGTTTTCGCACTGTTGATCCAACAACGATAAATCGTGTGCCATTTGAGTCAGATGATTATCTCATGAACAAAAATGTGAAAATTGATTATAATGATGGTACAGCAATAATATCGGCAACGTCTCAAAAACAGACGGGATCATCTCCACCTATTAATACAACACCCACAACACCACCTCCAAATAAATGGAATCAAACAACAAGAGAACGTCAATCACCGCGTATGACCTCTGCTTCACCAGCATTATCCACTAGTTCACAATCATCTGGAAGAGTAATTACATTTCTCAATCGTGAAGTTATTCAATTTCCATCGAATATTGAACGAGAAATACGTATAAAACAGAATTTTGAACAATTAGGTATGTTTTACTAGAATATTGAAAAATTTTTTTATTATAATAAAAATTATTTTATATTCTAGGTTTGATTGTAGACGCATATATTGACGAGGGTGTAAATGGTTGTATCATAAAATCTATTATGCCATCAGAATACGGTTTAAAAGCAGGTGATTATATTTTATCAATAAATAATGAAAATATGAAAAAGATTAGTAATGCACAAGCAAAATCAGTTGTTCGACGAGCATCATTAATGGGATCAGATATAAGGTAATAATAGAAAAGACATTGATTAAAACTGAATTATAATAATGTTTTAAAATCAATTCTTCTTCTAGTATTGTTTATATTCCAAGTGATGAAGCAAATTTGTTCAGAGAGTATACACTCGAACGAGAACATGAACTCACTCAACATTCTACATCACCACCTGGGTATGACTCAACATTATTTTGTAATCACCTAATGCACTATTGTTGTTTTTTACGTTGCTTTTTTTTTTCTTTCAGAATTTACGATTCTGATATTGAACAAACAAAGCACGTATTACAAACGGATAATGAATCATACGGTTTTGAACCGTCATCATTAAACATTCACTCATCCGCTATAGTAGCACCTCAACAACAACACTGCATTGTTGACAGTGAAACCCTGAGTGCAACATTGTGGGGTTGTGCGCGTGAGGTCTTATTATATCGCCAAGAAAATAGTAAAAGTCTTGGAATATCAATTGTCGGTGGAAAACTTGATTTTTCTGGTCCAAATTCAAATTCAATTGAATCATGTATTAGTGGTATTTTTATTAAACATGTTTTACCAAATAGTCCAGCCGGTGCTAATGGTACACTGAAAACAGGTGATCGTATACTCGACGTAAACGGTTATGATTTACGTGAAGCATCACACGATAAAGCTGTTGAAATAATACGTGCAGCAAAATCACCCGTATGTTTTATTGTACAAAGTTTATTAGATCCATCGAATCCATCGTCAGACAATAATACGATAATAAATACTACAGAAACATTGTCATCGTTATCTACTAACATTCCATTAATACCATCAACATTTGATCAACGTAATGCCATATCATTACAAAATACAAATCGATCTGAAACAACCATACATCGTACCGGTGCTATAATACATAATGCTCAAGCAGACAATAATAATACTAATTCGAATACAGATAATTATGATAAAGAACAAATTGAACGTGGTCTATTAAAACAATACGGACATTTAGACGGTGATATATATTTAATTGATATTTATAGACAAACACAATCGGAACCACTAGGTTTATCGCTAATCGGACATAGAGATCCACAACAATTAGCTGTTTTTGTTTGTGATATACAACCAAATTCATTATTGGATCGAGATAATAGAATACAAATTGGTGATCAATTATTAGAGGTAAGTTAAACTAACGTCATTTCTTTTTATGATAAGTAGAAAAATATCTCAGAGATTTTAGTTCATTATATAAATTAGGACATTAAAACATGCTGAATATAAAGATAAATTGAATTAGGGGTATCACTTTACTGTTTTTAACCAAGTAATAAGTAATAAAACGTATTAGTTATTATCAGGAAACACGTAATAAATCTTATTACCTTATTACTTATTACTTTTTCAAATAATAATTTTTTATTAATTTACTTATTATTAATAAGAAGAACAGTAATAAAAAGTAATAAGTAAAATAATAAAAAATTATTACTTGAAAAAAGTAATAAATAAAACAACAAGATTTATTACCTTTTTACCGGTAATAAGTAACAAACGCTTATTATTTTTACCGAATAATGTAATAATTGGTAAAAGTAAAGTAGCACCCCTAACCGTGTGTTCAAAGTTAAGCTCACATTTCACTTGTCATTGTGTACATAAAGCGAAGCGACAAATCTCGTTCTGATGAGAAACACATCCAAATGTACTTTTCTAAAATGTACTTTTTGATGATGATCACGAATCTCATATTCGTTTCTGCCTTTTGACTTTTATGGTCTCTGTCTCTTACTTTCGAATGGACAGATTCTGATATGATCAGAATAGAACATGTCATTTATCACCACACTCTCAGACTTTAAGATCAGATTTTGGAGATATTTTTGAACAATATTTGAGTATAGAACATGCATGACCTGACTATGTGACAGGAGTGCTAACGTCTTCGGAAACTGATCTTAAAGCCTGAGAGTGTGGTGACAAATGATATGCTCTATTCTTATCTGATCATATCAGAATCTGTCCATTCGAGAGTAAGAGACACAGTCCAGAAAAGTCGAAAGGCAGAAACGGATACATTTTGGAAAAGTGTTTCTCATCAGAACGAGATTTGTCACTTGCGGACTTCACCTTCATTAGAGAAAATACCGAAATAATGTTTGCTAACAGAAGGACTTTGATTCAGATAGCTAAAATTGTTTTTTGTCGCTACTGTTGAGAAAGTACTAATAGAAAAATCTCACACAATGACTAAAAAGAGAACTACAATGTTAAAAAAGTTACAAAAAATTTATTGAGTGCTGGATAGACTATCGTATTATAGAGCACACTTAATTGCATATATAAAGATATCAAAGGCGGATTAGAAATGTTTTTTTTATTTTTTCATTTCGATCAAGGGAGTGGATAATCTTAACTAAAAATATCTAGGTATTACACCATTGTAGATTATATTATGACTCTTGAATATTTTTTCTGAATCACACAATCTATAGTAGACAAAATTGCGTGATAGATTCTCGGCAAACAAACGTTTTGCTGATTGTTTAAAGACGAACAAAGACTAAAAACAGTAAACATGCTCTAATTTATTAAAAAAACATGACATTTATATATAGAAACGTCATCATTATTACAATATTAGTTAGACTGCCTGGATCGATAACGTCGGTAAAATTCTCTTAGTAATGATGTAAAAGAGTCATATTTGACATTCGACATTAACGCCTTCTAATTAAATTATTGTAAAAAGTACCGACTAACACCATATTAATAATGTTCTACGATATCAAAACGTTATTATGGTGTATAACAGCGACTTTGTGAAAGATCTTTTATCATATATCTCTTTGTTTGATATTTTCACCAGTATCCTCTTATAACCATTTTATTTTAATAATAACCATACTCCTTAGATGTTCATATGACTCCAAAAAACTCATTAATTAATTTATCCTTATTAACATCAATAAAGAAATCTTAACTTGTGTTATGATGAAGACTTTGTTTCTCGATCTACTACAGTCATTCGATCAAAAATTTGGCACTAATATTCTTAATGGAAGAGAGAGACATTTAAGAGTAGAGAAATAGGTAGATCATAAGACTGTTATTTCCTTTTCTTATGTACTAATAATGGCTTGAATTCTATAACATATACACAACTTTGAATTACTTGATTTGTGTATATGTATCATAAACAGCAAATAGATTATTACTTTTTTTTTTTGACTTTTCAATTAGGTAAACGGTGAAATATTATATGGTAAAGCTCATTCAGCTGTTATACCAATTATCAAATCAATCAAATCCGATATACTCAATTTTGTTATATTAAGGTAAGAATAATAAAAAAATTACCATTGATATCTGTTTATTTAACAGTTTGACATATTTTATAATTAAAAACTATCGGTGTTTATCTCTATTGCATGTTACATCTAAGTGATTAATCGTGCGCGATTACAATATTAGATAAAAAAAAAAGAAAAAATTGTTTCCCCTGACTCTAACGAGTATACAAAAAAAAAAAAGAAATAAATAAATAATAACGAATTTTATCATGCACGATTATTTTATTTTTTGTTTCTTTTCTTTTAGAAATCCAAATGCATTGCATGATATGGCTATCGCTCAATTGTCTGTCAATCGTACGGTAGGTTGAAATAAAATAAAAAAAATAATAATAATAACATATTTTTATCTCTAACTGACACAATTATATCCGACAGATTCTATATGAAAATAGAGAATAGATTAAATTTATTTTTTTATTTTTACGCATGAAATAGTGTATATAACTTAGATCGGTTGAAAATAATTTCCATGTGCCTAAATAAAAAAAAAAATCAATTAATTTGATTATAGTTATCGCAAGTCAAAAGTTGTTTGTCACAATGAGCGTTTATTAAAAGATTGAAAAATAGAATCAAAAACGAAAATAATAGATTTTTTTTTACTGTATATATTTTTTTTCTTTTTCTTCTTCTTTTTAGCCATTATCTGTCATCGATTCTCCCATTCCACCTTCTACAATAAAATCATCATCCAATTATATGCCAGATAATAAAACTTCTAATAATCGTTTTGTTACACATGAATCACTTTCATCATCTTCATCATTATCTTCACCATTATTACCACCACAATCAAAAATACAAATGGATGATGTTTCAATTGATGAATTTAATAGTGAATTAAAAAATTCTATGCTAGTGATGACAAATAATCATCAACAGCAACAACAGAATGAACAACAAAAAAATGATGATTTTTTTCTAAATAATAACAATGAAAGAAAGAAAAAATCGACATTTTTTGACGATATTGAACAGAAAAAAAATGATATAACAAATTCTATAGTGTCAACGAATGATGAAAAATATTTTTCAGAAAATCATATTCACCCGTTTTCTTCCAATATAAAAAATATTCAGAATAACGATAGAGAAAATAATAAAATTTTAACATTAGATCAAAAATTAGCAATAACAACAACAAAAAAATATGACGATAATAATAGCGAAAATATATATTTGGAAAAAAATATGGTATCGGTTGACGATAATAATCATCAAAAACAATTGTTACAACAAGAAGTTCAACATAGTCGATTAACGAACGATACACAGAAAGGTTTGTATCAAACTATTTTTTTTTTTGTTTCTATAAGTTATGAACGTCAATCATCAAATGTTAAAAAGAGAAAGCGTCCTTTTTATCCTCCTCCCTTACTCTCTCTCTCTCTTTCTCTCATTCAACATAATATACGTTCTCTTATTTTAACCGGAAACAAAAAAAATTGTTTTTCTATAAGAAGAGGTATTTGTTAAAGTATTAAAAAGAATGTATCTTTCTTTATTTATAACTGATAGAACATTTTTTTGTTTTTTTATTCAGAAGATCAAAAGTACCATTTTACATATAACATTTATTCTTGTTTTTACTATATATTTTTTTTTGAATTGATAATTAATGTTTAGATTATGATTTAGATATCTCTCCAGAACATCAACAACTTGGAAATATTTCTCCAAATTCAAGTATATTAGATACAACTAATCACAATATTCTCTCGACATATACTCCGTCAGAAATAGCTACTTCTTTTATAACGTCTAAAGATAATAAAACAATATTGCCTGAAGCAACAATTGATAAAAATTATATACAAATAAAAAAACGTTCGTCATCTTCGTCAAATTCATCTTCACAATCGTCTCCATCAACACCACCATCAATTGAAAGACAATCATCAACTAAACAAAAACTATCTGAAAATATTGAATTTGACATAAAAAATGTCATAAATAATCAAGCAATTATAAACCAACAACAACAAATTCCATCTTCTAACTATGTGATGTCAACATCGACTAATAATACAATACAAAAACAAGGAAATGGATTACCTCGTGATGCAGTAACAATCATATTAAATAAGGTAAAAGAGAAGAATATACCGTAACAAAAAAATAAATAAATAAATGACATATGTTTTGTTTCTTAATTCACTCTCAAGGATTCAAAAGGTTTTGGATTAGTCTTAATGTCACAAAACGATGGTCGTATCTGGGTTAAAAGTGTCATTCCACACGGTCCAGCCGATGAAGTAAATTGCATTTTTATAAGAAGAATACGAAATTAGTAAAATATGATACTCTCTCTCTCTCTCTATCAAAAGAAAATTTGTTTTCATTTTTCTACGATCTTGACTATGTTAATTAAATAGTAAGATTAAATTTGAAGTTTATTTGTTTAAGTTATAGAATTTTTGCTGAAAAAAGTTATGAAAAAATACACGTTTTTACGTTTTGTCTTATTAAGAATGATATACGGGCTGGTGATGAAATAACAATGGTTAATGATAATCCGGTAAATAAAATGGAATTTGATAATGTTGAAAAGTTGCTAAATGATTCAACCATCAATCGTCTTCAAGTAACATATGTACCATATCGTGAACCCGAGCCCACTCCTATTGCTATTCATGTAGAACCAAGTGTAAACAATAACAGTAAGTCATAAAAAATAAAATAATGAAAATATTTTTTTCTAAATACGACTGTATTATTTTTAGATGTGATTGAAATGGTAAAAACAAATATAGCTGATGATCCGCGTACACGACCAATTGTTGTTGGTCAAGAAACATTAATTGAAATTGATCGTGGTCGAACAGGTTTAGGTTTATCTGTTGTCGGTGGTTCGGATACACAATTAGGAGCGATTGTTATTCATGATATTTATGAAGGATGTGCTGCTCAAAGAGATGGAAGATTATTTGTTGGTGATCAAATATTAGCGGTATATATGTGTAACATTATTTTATATCTATAAATAAATATATTATGAATAAATTTTTATTTAGGTAAATAATATTGATATGAAATCCGCTACACATGAAGAAGTAAGTACCGAAATATTGAAAAATACAAATTATTTATACTATTTTAACAATAAATAACTTTTTAGGCTATTCATGTGTTAAGACAAGCAGCGGATATTGTTAGAATACTTGTGTTACGTGGTACGCTCATTACGGAAATGATGAATGAACAAGAAAAATTTGATATTGTTACAATTGATTTAACGAAAAAAACTGGAAAAGGACTTGGATTTAGTATAATAGGAAGAAAAATGGGTTTTGGAGTATTTATATCTCACATAGTACGTTGAATATAGTTTATTTAATCACTAGTATAACTTGAATATTTTTATGTTTAGCTTGAGGGCGGATTAGCTGAAAAAGATGGTCGACTTATGTCAGGTGATTTAATTCTTGAAGTAAATGGGCAAGATTTAAGAAAATCTCCGTATGAACATGTAGCTTATACATTGAAGGTATAATTCTGCTGATTCTAACAAGATTTTATTCAGATTATTTTTAATTTTTTTTCCTTTTTTTAGACTCTTCCACATGGTAAAGTAACAATTAAAATTGGTCGTTTAAAAGCGAGTTCACGCAATCAATCGAGACAAAATTCTATACCAGGTGAACGAAAATCTCGATCACGTTCTATCTCATCTCATACAACAAGACGAAATTCAACAAATAATAATCCTGCTACGTCGGCAACACCAACAACAACATCTTCCTCATCTAGTCGTGCATTTTCATCATTTTTATCCCATAATAACTGATGAATTAATTTAGTGTGTAAATAGTGTGTAAACGTGAATGTGTTTGTGTATTTTCTATATTTATTTATTCAAACCATTGCGTGTTTTCTTTGTGGATTTACGATATTCGTAAATCATGTTAGTTTTGGGGTTTTTTTTTTTGTTCAAAAAAAAAACATTTATGCTTCCAAAATTGCTTCTCTCTCTCTCTCTCTATCTGTTTGTGGCGAACATGTGACTTTTTTTCCTCATGCTTTTTTTTAAAATGCAATGGCCGGTAGATGTGTTGTTTTGTTCTTTTTTTCTCTCTCTCTCTCTCTCATTCTGCAATGTTTACACGAACATCTTATTTTTTGCAATTGTTTTCTCTTTAAAATGCAAATATTTTCAAATTTATTCGCTCGTTGTTAGTTTTTTTCTACTTTATTATATTTAGTCTAAAAGGATAGAAGAGATTTTAAAAATATGAAAATAAAATATACATCTGAAATAAAACAGAATCAAATATATAAGTTAGACTAAAATTTTATGATACATTTACTTGCTCTTGTAAATTGTCTTTCGTCATTTTTAATCGCTGTTTTGGTATGACACTGCGACTTACACTTGTTTACTATTAACAAAGCTTAATTTGACTCTTGTTGAATCTTATTTTTAGTCTATTATAGCATATCAAATAAGAGGAGAAAAAGAAACGAAAAGCATACATCTGAGAAATTCCATTAAATGTACTTTACAACTTGTTAAGGGTACCCCTCCCCTCTTTTGGGGCTTTCCGTAGAAATGCTATGAAATAAAAACTAAAAGTCGCTAGAGCTTCGTATTTTCAGAACTGATTGGAAATTCAATAGAGCACTTTTCGCTTTTGTTTCAAGTTTTTCAACTATTGTCGTTCCCTAGTTTTTCAGAAAACTTGGTTTTTCATTGTGCCACATTACGACCGCCCTTAAATTTCATCCGATCGAGTTCAAAATTTTGCCAGAGGTGCTCAAGATTATTCCTCAGAGGTAGTTTTTGAGAAATGTTTTTGAGACCATTCCTGGTCGAATTACAGAAAAAATACTGGAAAACATCTCAAAAACCAAGTTTTTCAATTTTAGAAACCCCATAAGTCGGTGAAGAAAAGTCTAAAATAAAATTCCAAAAATTACCTCTGCAATAGTGTCTTGAGTACCTCTGGTAAAATTTTGAACTCGATCGGATGAAATTTAAGGGGGATCGTACTGTGGCACAATGAAGCCTGGTAGCAAAAAAATAGTTTCCGAGAAAAAACGCATTTTGTACATCGGTCACTTTTTTCAGAGCATTTGTCGCGATGCTTATATCTTCGCCAAAACTCATCGGAAAATTCTGTAAAACGTCTCATTGTGAAGAAAACAATTTCTTCTATCAGATTCTGTGTAAGAAAAATTTTGCATGTACAGAAAATGAGAGAAAAGCTTATCAAACTAAAAAATTGAGGTTTTTTAGGTTTTGAAGGAAAAACTTCAGAAATCCATAACTTTTTGAAAGAAGGTCGTGGAGTACTGGGAGTGGTCTTATTTTGTAGCCCATACTTTCCTCTACATTAGACTATGCTCAACTCAAAATTCGAAGTTTTTACAAAAAAGAGGGGGGGTATCCTTAAGTGTAGTCATCGCGTAATTTTTCTACTGTATTTTATAGAACGGTCCTTCAATATTATTAAAAAATCTAAACAAATCTAGTTAGATCAAGCTATATTATGTTTATGAATTATTTATGCAGGATTTCTCTGTATGGAAAATGAAGATTGTTATACAATGATTATGTGTTACCATCGTTAATGCTACGTCAAGTTTTACTATTAATTAATATAGTTAAAAGTGAGAACTACTGCGGTACAACACTGCGACTTACACTTGTCTACTGTTAACAGAACTTAATTTGACTCTTACTGAATCTTATTTTTAGTCTGTTAGAGTGATATAGAGAGAACGAGAGATAGTTTCGTTGAACGATAACTACTGCTCTATATGATCACAAAACAATAAAAGCTTGTTAGAGATACTAGGTTCGTTATGCTAAATGATTAATTATCGAACCTCATAATCCAAACGTTGTTCACTGATACAATGATCACGTAATTTTAAGAGTTTTATAAATGCTCGAATCATACGTCAGTAATAATCAGTAATGAAAATAGTAGAGGGCATTTGTTTCATCAAAACTTACACATGTGCATGTAAAAATATATTTATCATTTATTGTCTGACTGAGCCAGTGGCGGTTGTATCGCAATCGTTTGATTATATGGATATATTTTGGTTTTTATACTGTGATACAGTTTCAGACAAACAAAAATAAGCAAATACAAAAAGTATCAAACAGAAACCTAACTGTCGTAAGATCGAGTAAATCGAACAACTTCAATTTTGAATTATCTATTGAATCTGCCTAAGTTTTTGCAAATTTTTCGAGAAAGATCACATTTTGCCGGTTGATTTCCATCTCATTGCATGACCAGAAAAATATTTCGGCAGCTGAGCTTCACACGCTGCCAAATTTCTAGTTACGCCATTAATATAGACTATGACCCGTGGATTTAATTTTATCATTTACTGCAAAATTTAATTAATGTGCTCGAGTCCGTCTTCTCATAACATTAATTTTGTGTTTTTCCATAGTTTAAATTTTTAGAATACGACAACGGATTTATTTCCGCTTGTATTCTGAAAGAATAACGCTTAAATCAAACAAAAATGGAGATATATACGGATAACTCTTGATTGAGTGAAAGCAATTTCTGTTAGAATATGTTCACAAGAATGTAATTCTATTTCCGTTAACATATAAAATAGAAAATGGCTTGAATACTGAAGCATGATGAGGAAAACAAAAGATCTTTTATTTCATTGAAATGTATTAGTTTACACGTCTTAGCGGAAAAAAAGCGCACAAGACAACTCTTTTTACATGAACTTTATAAAATATACTCACGTAAAACAAAACATCTGTAGTAAATATCCGATTAAATGGAACCAAAAGGACTAACTCAATAATATCAAATTGTTCCTAAAAATTTATTAAGATATAAGTGGCAAAGATTAATTGTTTTTTTTTATCTCTTGTTAATTATCTTCAATCATACGATGATATATATTAGTTTGTCATATGCAGGATCGTAATTGCAAATATTTTTCTAACATTCTCGCCAAATTTCTTGGATAGATGTTTGAGCACAAGCTCATTTGATAGAAATCTTAATTCTTTACAAAACTATCTACTCAAAATAATATTGTGATCTCCGGAGCGGCAGCATGGTTTGATGGTTATATTGTTCTTCACGTACTGTGTTCGAACCTCGACACTAGCAAAGTCATGTAATAACCTTGAGCAAGTTACTTATGTCTTAGTGCCTCGGCTCACCCTTCTGACAGCATACTCACTACATTGTGACGTACAATACAGCTCCTCGGGCTAGTTCACGTAGCTTTCCGAAAAGCTAGTGCGTGGTTAGTGAGGGTGCATGAGGAGCACAAGTAATTGGGCGAAAGGACTCTGTGTCAGGCTAGCCTTCTGATCAGAGCTGCAATTGATGACTAGCAATGAGATGGGTGACCGTTTCAGAAGCTTGTCAACTGCAGGGAAGATATCGGCCTATTGAAACTGCCATTTGGCAGCACCCTACACCGGTAACGGTAACCGCAAGGTGGGGTATTCTTCTTCTTGTGATCTCTGTTGTGTAATGCAAATGAACTAAACTGCCCCTGTTTTCGTTACTACGCTAAATCAAATCGCACAGTGGTCATTTTTCTAATAGCAGGCGGACATCAGATTTTTTTACTCATAAACTATTTTTTCATCATTAATTAGCATTAGTTAGTCATCTCTGATGCTTTTAAAGACGTTTTCAGAAAAAATCGGTCTTGCTGGTTTAGCTCATAGGAAAGATTTCTATGAATATTTTTTTATCCAAAAGTTATTGTATTACACATAATTTTATGTAACTCGACGCGCTGATACCGAATATGTCATCGGTTTTTAATAAAAGTGTTTCTGAGTTTGCATTCACCACAGATACCGATCATGTTGGTAAATATTTTGGTATAATTTTGAGTACAATTAAACCATGAATGTGGGTAGATACATTGCATTGTAAATGTCTTCTTCAGTAGTTTCGGAAAATAATTTTTTGTTAGATCGTAGGTCAAAATCTCGAAAAGTTTTCTGACATATAGATAGCTGAAAGTGTGTAGATTACGAACATGTGGTATTTACAGATTCTGATCGACTTGGTTCAATAAAAGAAATGATTTTTCGATATGAAGTCGCTGATATCTATGCTATTTTTTGTATTTTTAAAGGTTTTCTCGAGATTAAGCACTCGAAACAAAACATTTTCCAGTAATTGATAGCGCGCGAATTGTAATATATATCAAGCTATTTAAATCTTGAAAATTTCACATTTTTGATTTTCCACAAAATGTTCACCTGGATGCCTGCTGTGAACGGGCCGCTAAAAATACGTGATATATGGGCGGCGGTGTGTCAAATTGAAAATTTTCAATTGATGGCGGTGAAAAACTAAAAAAAATTTTTCGTCTTTGGCAGCGGCAGCGTGAAAATTTTAAAAAGGCATAATTTTTAATAAAGTTTTTTCAAAAAAGTTTTAAAAAGGTTCGGATGGGCGACGGGTACGAAAAACTTCAAAAACAAATTCTGTGTATGGCGGCGTGAAATTTCAAAAAAAATTTCGGCAGCTATAGTAGCGCGGCTAACGCTTCTATTCACTTATTGTTTATTGTTTTTTAAAATTCATTCATGAAAAACTCTTAAAAGTGTTTTTCATGAATGAACGGTTAAAAGAAAATCACAAAAGAAACAATCAAGATCTGAGGCGTATTTTACAAAACCAAAAGAGTTTTGGTTTGGAAGATGTTTATATTTCAGCGAGTCAACATTGTGAAGAGTTCGAAGACGTCTCATTTTGAAGAGAAATGTTTTTCCTACATTGTTAAGTAGTTGAAGAGTTTACAATAATCAAGAAAGAATGAGTGAAAGTGGAACTGTTTTCTTAGTTTTAGATGAAAAACCATAAACAATTCATATTTCCTCGAAGAAAAGCGACTGAGAGGTTGGAAATCTCTCATTTTGTACAGAACACTTGAGAGTATATTTTTGCTGGATAAACTCATTTTTAAGAAGTTTCTAAAATGACGGGATACCTTAATTTGTTCATGCTATTATGTGTAAAACCATCATATCTTGTCATTTGTCAAGTGTCTTATCACTTCAGCAAAAGGTTAGTTATTGAGAAACTTATAAGGTGTCTTGAAGTTCAGTACAGAGCGATTCTACAATCAATCTTTCCTAATACGTTTATTTTCTTCGTCATTTATAGACATCGGTCTCTCTTTTTACCTAACAATATCCTGGACATATGGTTTTGCAATAGAGCACGTGTGAATTGTCCATAGCATCATATTCTGATCAGTAATAAGTAGTCAGTTTTCTTATTGAACAAGTTTTCTATTTACACAGCACAATTGAAGATGTGCGGTAGTTTTATTTTATATTTGCTCATCATTAGATAACATACACATATTTACCTTTCTATATCATTAGACAAACGAAATGTCATTGTTGTGTTATTTGATTCTATTGTGTGCATAATTAAGTAAACAAAACATGGCAGCAATTTGATGGAAATAAATTATAAAATTATAAAATTATTACGTCAATAACATTTTCAACGCTCTAATATGGAACCATCTATGTCGTCAATATCCATCTTATCACCTGCCACAAAGGATTCTATAGCTATCAGACTCCTGACGAAAGATACATTAGAAACAGCTGTTACAGATGATAGTGAAGATCAAGGGTGCTGTAGATATTTCAATAATTCTTGCTGCAGATTCTTCGGAAAATGGTGGAATGTACGTTTTGAGTAGGTGCTTTTTTTTACCAAATCCTCTCAATAATTTCTAAACATTTAACGAATATTTTAGTCATCAACATCGTATTATTCATTTGGTTGAGCACACTTATTTTCATATGCTCATTGTAATACTTGTATTACTCGATTGTGTACTCGTTATTGGTGAGTTACTTTTGGATTTTATTAAAGTGAAAAAAACAAATAAAGATTGTAAAGAAACTAATCATGGAAATAGCGAAGACTTGGAATTAGCTATTGAAGTACTTCATTATACATCGGTCGTACTGTTATGTTTGTTCGCTATTGAAGTACTAACTAAAGTTTATGCATTTGGAAAGAAATGGTGGAATGTTCGTGAGAAAAAAATGGAATATTTAGATGCTGCTATCGTATTTGTATCTTTAATAATTGATATTTACTTTATTAATAAGAGCGAAGGCATTGCCGATATATCGTTACTCATTATTTCATTTCGATTATGGAGAATTATTAGAATAATTAACAGTAAGTTCAACTAATTGAATATTAATCCTGGGACAACATATATATTGTGATTTCTCTCTCAAAGCTTTTATCATAACGCTAAGGTAATAATTAGTGCTTAACTTTATTTTTAATCTAGGTGCGGTACAATCAGTTCGTCAAAAAGACGAAAATTCTAGAAAACAATTAGCCAAGACATATCTCCAAGTTGTCGAACTTCTCATGTCTGTCTCAATTAAAAAAACAGACGTAGTCCAAGAAATTCAAAATGATGGAACAGAACAAAACATTGGAAAAATATTGGAAAAATTTCGTGAAATTGATACTTTATGTCAAGGTTGTATTACACACTGTTCACGTCCAACGTCTCAACATTTAGTCACTGAGGCTGCACAGAATTTACAAGAGGCTCTTGATCAAGTCAAACTTTCTCAATCCGGTTTAAGTCTAACAAGTGAAGAAAAAGAAAAACAAGCCTAAAGCTATTTTGAACATGTTTTCATTATTTTTTGTTGTTGTAATGCTTCAAACAGTACACAAATCCAGTGATGATCATAATTTAATAAAAAACCAAAATTTCGCTTTTATAAAGCTGTAGTTATCCTGCGACACAGTCTGTTCCACACGTGGTCGTTCGGAGATGAAGACAGTCCTCCTTAATTGAGTTTTATAGTCGTTCGATAGTCTTTGAGTAGCCAGCTACTTTATCTTGATTTCTATAAACAACACGAAAATCTGAGTAAATGTGACCACAGCTAGTCGCTGTCGACAACCAACAAGCTACAAAAAAAAGACGGATAGAAATAAAAGGATTACAATGTACAACTAATATTTTCAAACTTTATTAAAAGATTGTATGGTGCACAAAGAAAAACAGTTTCGTCGTATTTACTCGTTAATAAAAGATCACTAGAATCAATTTTACAAAATCTTTCGATTTTTTAACTAGTGATCTTTTATTTACTTCTTTTATGTTAAATGTCTTATAGATGATATAGTCGAGATATATATGAGAAAAACAGGAATTCCTAGCGAAGAAATTTAATAAACGTAACAGTTTGTCGTAATTTTGAAACAGCTCATTTTTCATACATAGTTTAGCCTTTTTTTCTGTTACCGTTGATTCAGAACTGAATTAAAAGAATTAAAGAAGCAGTCAGTGTACACTGAATAACA